TATGGAGTTTTATCACGATGGAATTTGGCCCGTGGTGTTCAATTAAACAGTTAATGAGCAATGTTGAGGTTATGTCTTTAGTATGGAGCTGCACATGTTTACTTGCAAATGACCATGTGCCCAATCTGTTTCGATTTTGGAAATTAAGAAGGGTTAAGTCTGGATAGTCCTTGGATGAGAGAATAACAGGGCATACTAGGGATTGTAGGCTTCATGTCTGGGTTGGCCAGGGGATGGCAATGACAATTAACTGCCTGAACGTATCTGCCACTGGGTGTTGTTGCTTAATATTTGCGTGTTTATAGAGGTTTTTTTTGTGAGTTTCCTCCAGTAACTCTCGTTTCCCAACACATAGCACTCACAAATATAAATCAGCTAATATCTCTTTGCAGGACTCTCTTGAAATTAGTACCGATGAAGGCTTGCTTAAATGGGCCGGAATGGGTTGCTTACCTGTAGTGTGGTGAGCTACGGCCTTCGCCAGCATTGTTTTGCCACAGCCAGGCGGTCCGTACATCAGCACTCCTCGAGGGGGGTCAATCCCGATCTGGGTAGACAACACAACTCTGTGAGAAACACTCTGCATTGGGATTCATAACAATTTACACAAGTAAAATCCACACATGCCTTAAGTGGCTTAAGGTTTCAATGTTATTACGTAATCAAGTCAGATGTGGAAAATTAAGAAGTCAATGTATTACATTTATCAATACTTTGCTTATAATGTAACAAATGAAAAACAATCTGTTATTTGCAACGAGTAAGCTGTTCAACAGTTGTAGAGTGCCAGAATGCTGGCACATGCCTGCAACCAAGGGTTCTTGGTGGCAAGTGTTGGTTTATTAGCACGGTCGGCTAAGTACAACGCGAAAGAAGTTCCACATACATATTAAAACGGATTTGTAAACGTTAAAAACCCGCTCGGCTGCAAGGTAGCCATATGTGATTGTACAAGGAGTGGAATTGTAAACCCGGCTGTGCCAATCTTTGAAGAATGCTTTCCCCTCGTCCGTGTTGGATTTTCTCCAGGAAATCCGGTTTCCTCCCACATGCAAAAATGCTCCTTAAGTAGCAATTAGTAAACAGAAACAAATGCAGCACTCACCAAACAAATAACCTGACGGCTCCTGAGTGAAGCCGGACTGGCCTGGAACGACCCTGGTATAGTTTAGTTGTACAGCAGAAAAGTGTAAGTGCTCTACAGAGGGTAGCAGCTCTGTGAGAGAGACACCTGCTTGTAGAGGTCAAAGTGTGTGAGTGGCAACTCCACAGCCTCACGGACTTCCTGCTTCTGGATGTCCATCCCTCCGATGTCCACGTACGTCACGTCCGGCTTTTGATCTGCCAAACGTACAAAGGCGTTCGGTCCTGAGTAAGACCATTTCTTTTCCCGGTGCCTATTTCTGTTGGCATAGCTCACAAGATTGTGACGAGTCGAGCACATAACCCAGCTAACTTTGGATGGCCACCCACCGTAGGTGCTGACAAGCACACATTTGAAAATTGTGCTAATCACTCACACGGTTTGTATTGTTTGGAAGTATTATTATGGATACCGTTAACAAATATCAAACGGGTCCAGACCAAATATTTCACTTGTTGGTTACGCTTGTGGCGACGTAACTATAGCGGTTCTGAATTGATTTCCGGCCAAATAAAATGTATTACATGGTAGCCATTTGAAATTAGTGGGTTATAAAATAATTCACTCTTATTAGCCATAAAGATAAATTGGTCCTACAATAGTGTTGCTACCTTACTTAAATGGTAAACATTTCTGCCCTGGTTCATGGATGAAAATATCCCTTCAAGTTACATGCATACATCTCTCCCACAGGAAGACTGATTTGCTCTGTATACAATTATAATTTTGGTCACAATTATAATTTTGGTCACTAGTTTGCCTGTGATAATGGGCAACATAAATATACTGAAAATGTTCATGCCATAATTGTCAAGTCTGGACCGTGTTACATTCTTCTTGCAATGTCTCCGATGAAAGATAAAACATACAAGCTGTCACTACTCACCCCCCCCTCCGTTTAATCTTTTTCAGAACAGTTAGTGGCCAGCCACAAATCCGTTCCGTGTTATATTCGCCACGAGAAGCATGGCGGAACATCAGGGTGCTAGGTGCTGCTGTTCTTGTCGTCGACACACAGCTGCAAGAACCAAAGTACCTGCGGTGAGCATAGTGATGCTGCTGTCGGCCTCCGGGGGAAGCACGTCCACCAGTGCATTGCTGTGCTTATGCAGTGCCACCGAGGCACTGGGCTTCAGCAGCTCGCGGTCGATGGTGCTCAAAATACGCACATAGTAGTTAGATCCTGCATGGCGAAAACAGCAGTGGGTTCCGTTAGCCACGACATCTCAAGCAGGTGAATCCAGAGGGTCAACTTACGCTGGACGTGGTGGCACACGCTGCGATATGGTACTTAGGAGGCGAAGGTTGGTGTAAAATGTTGATTTGTGAAACAACCAAACCCGCTTGGCTCTGAGGTGGTCAGAAGGTGCCAGTACAGCAAACGGGTTACGAACCCATCTGTCCAGACCTTCAGGTGTATATATTTTGCCAGGTACATCAGTTGAGTAGTTAAAGTAAAACACTCATTGACAACATTTGCCAAACAACCAACTGCAGGAACCCTCCTGAAAAAAGTTGTGAGGGTGATTGAGGCTTTCCTGGATAAATTACAATTATTTTACTTTCATAAATCCATAGCTTACAAATGTTAAATGTGCCAAATGAATACAGCGTTCATACTCTTAGTTCTTTCGGTAAAGTCACGTAGGTAAAAAATGAAATTAAAATTAATAAGAATAAAACAATAAAATCACGACGTTTCGGAGGCAACACAAGTCTCCGTCATCAGGTGGGACCGTCACAGCCAGATTTGCTGCATCAAGTGAGGGAGGGAATCAAGATGCAAGCTCTTAAATACCAGTTAATACAGCGTTGCCATTAATAAGATCACATTAGACACAGGTTCTTAAACGATATTGTGCGCAACACCAACCAGTGGTGGAGCCAACGATGCCAGTGTTCTGATCAACGGCTTCCAAGAACTGCCCGATGACGAGGGGGATGCTCTGGATTCGTTTGACCTCCTCCTGCGCGTGCAGGTACTCCTTCTTGAGGTTCTTCTGCTCATCCTTGATGTATTCCTCCTGCACCTCAAGGAATTCCAGCTCCCGCTGAAGCTTCTGCAACGGGCACAAAGAAGGATGTGCATTTTTAGCCAGAGCTAACAAATCTATTAGGAATTGACACAAATAATACACCCCCCCTCCCTGCTTTAGGAACGGCCTTGATACCTTGAACTTGGAGTAGAGATCTTCCAGATCATCAGGCTCAGGTGCCAGGAAAGACAGACTTGTCTGGGGCCTGCTGTCAGGCACCACGGTCAGGAGCTCCTCCTGATATAAACATACATCACATCAAACAGAAAGTAAAGAGACATCAAACAACACAATTCAACTGCAGTAGAGGCCTGCATTATATAACAGGATTAATACCACAAGCACACTGAAGAAACAGGATACCTAGCAAACAGCATTAAAAAACGAAAATAACTATCTAATCCATTATAAGCCACTGTAAAATACAGCAATATCATACACCATAACATTGTATACGAAAGCAATGCAAAAACACCTATAACTTAAATACATCACACCATGACTCAACACAGCTAAGGGTCACAACCACCATAAAAAAGTCAAACCACAACCACAAGACAATTTTGATTTAAGCCATCATTCTTACTCCGTACTAAAACAAACAAACATGGCCATGCGTTAAGTGGTGGCTCTGAAAAAGAGCTTTTGTGTTGTGCTTTGAGGTCCGAGCTGGGCGTTCAAGTGCGCTCGCCACGGTGTGAAACGCATTGCTGTAGGGCGCCTTATACATCTAAATCATATTTATTACAAACAAGAAGCAGTCAATGAGATACAAGAGTGTATGTGATACAACACGGATCGGTAGAAAGAAGCCATTACAAGTCTAGATTTGAAGCTTTCGTGACTGCAAGGATTCATACTCTTAGGTTTTTTCGGTAAAGTCACATAGGTAAAAAGAAATAATAATCTTTTATTTAATAGGAATTTTTTTTAATTTCTATTATTTTAATAATATAAATAATAGTTTATCTATATGGAAATATTTTTTTCTATTATTTTTAATTTTGTATAATTATTTCTTTTATTTTGAATGATATAAATATTTATTTAATAGAAATAATATATTTATATTATTTAATTTTACCTACGTGACTTTACCGAAAAAACCTAAGAGTATGAAGCCATTACAAGACTGAGCCCCGAGGGCCGGGCGGTAATCGCGCCTGCCGCGGGGACAGCGGCCAAGTCCGGCAGGCGGGGTCGCTAGGAAAAACGTAAGGCTCCGTAGCGGCCTACCGTATGACTTGGCACTTATTAAAACGCGGTGAGAGTGCGCAGAGCGCGGCCTCGCGCTGTGTGTCACCGACAGCGTTAGCTCGCCCGCAAGCGACGCTCGCACGGCGCTGTTGATGTTTCTCGAGAGCTCAACGAGCTCAGTTTTACCTGGACTTTCTCCACCACCACAGGGCCGCTCTCGTCCATTGCTGAGGTGTCTGGCGAAGTCACGTGGGCGTTCGTTTTATTGGTCTGCTCGTCCTGCCACCGGTGGCGGAAGAGAGGCGTTTGGAAGATTCTGCCGGAAGACGGCTGTGCGTTTTATTCAGGGTGCGTCTTCTGCCACCGGTGGTGGCACCGAACACGGAAGATCACCACCGAACACGGAAGATCACCACCGAAAACGGAAGATCTCCACCGAAAACGGAAGATCTCCACCGAACACGGAAGATCACCACCGAACACGGAAGATCACCACAGAACACGGAAGATCTCCACCGAACACGGAAGATCTCCACCGAACACGGAAGATCACCACCGAAAATGGAAGATTCCCACCGAACACGGAAGATATCTACCAAAAACGGAAGATCTCCACCGAAACCGGAAGATCACCACCGAACACGGAAGCGCGCGGTCTTCCGCCCGTTTCGGTGGACATCTTCCAGACTCGGCAGAGGAGGCGTCCGGGCGCTGCGCCGTGTGTAGACTTCTTCTCCTCACGGTAACGAGTCGCCTTCGTTCGCGCTGACGGGCGGTTAAACAGCACGACGCTAAGACAACAAACAACACAATACACAACGCCAAGTAGCGGCTGTTAATTGTTTAATTTTATTTATATATAAAATCAGTACCCCCCCCACCCCCTCTCGCCTCCTCTCCCCGCGGCGCTTTCGCCAGGCTATTGTAGGGGGCTACACAAGGCCGAGGTGTTTCGCGTGCGACCTCTGGATAAGAAATAAATAAAACGTTTTAACGTTGAATTAACTCGCCGTTTGGTTCATGAATTACCCCTCGGCGCTGTTACGTTAATGTCGCGTTAAGTGCCACGGGGCGGGTTGGTTACGTGTTGGTTAGCCGCTCGTTGTGGTTGTTTTTGTTGTTGTGGTGCCTGGCGGTGCTGGCTTCAATGGCTGAACGTGGGCTCACTGGTGAACGGGAGGCAGTGTTGCCTCATAGCGTTCATTATATTCGTCGGGGTTTCCCCCTGCCACTGAAGACGACGGCAAGAGCTCGACGTTTCGATCTCACGGTCATTGTCAAACGCAAAACAAAATATGGTTTTACACAGCGAGAGAGATTGAGAGAGCGGTGGCGCAGCTGTTAGCGCACTGCCACGAGTTTGGATTTCTATATATCTGTGACAGTCACGGCTATCGTGGGTTGGTGGCGCATTCTGTCTTAACCTGTCCCGAACCCGAGGGAGAGAGGGCCATTCACCAATACACAACCCTCACTGACCGGCATGGACAAGTATATGGTCAAGTAAACAACATCCCCCATCTACACCGCGTGGAGAGGAAGCCCTTTAGCGGTAGATTTTCAAACACGGGGGCTGTGAATGACAATTTGACATAGGATGTGGGTGTGTGGTTGATCGTGCCACGTAGAATAGAATATAGCGAAGTGAAAGTGAGACATGATAACATTCTCACGAGCCTTGCGTCAAATGAAATGATTACCAAACTCACCGGCACTCCAGTGAGGGAATCTGCACATTTTGAAATTCCAGTAGATTACTTGAAACACTAAATTCGTCTATGGTCCAAATGTATGTGAGATAATAGAAATGTCAGCTGGCAGCCAAAGTAACAAGAACAACCGCTGTTTCACCACCGAAGTGATGATAACCCTTGTTAGGTGCACATTGATGTTTTGAAGGCTCGCTGGCAAGAGTTCGCGGGATAGACCCCCAGGTGTTATGGGATGACTGGCAGATACACCACCAGTGCTCGCCACTGTGCCAACTTTTGCTGCGTTTTCGCTGCCCTGCCTTCTGCTCGTTCTTGTGAGCGTCGCTCCTCTGCCAGTTGTAGGAGGGCGACTGCCTGCGAGAGTTACCACGACAGAGATGGAGCGATGACATTAACTATTGTGCAGGCGCTGCAGGGATATTGCATCGCAGAACCATGAGGGATGGTGGTGGCGTCTGGAGGCCTTTATCCAGCATTTGATGATTGATCGTGACTGATGATAAATTCGTCTTGAGTAAAGTCCAGTTTATGCTAATGATGGGGCACCGACTGGTGCAGGCAGCATCAAGCATGGGCTGTTATTCATCAGCCAGCCAACACGTATGTTTTGCTTGTTTGTTTTACAATCGCATGCAAATTGACTGAATGAGAAGTGGAAAGATAGACGTGCAGTGGAGTCCATTCTTTAATACCCGTCATGAGGAAATGCTAACTATTTGTATGGTTAATAAATACTTTTCACAACACCCTGATTGCCATTACATATGTTGCACATTGATGAGTAATTATTTTATACCATTTACATGGTGACTAATGAACAGGTAAAATTACGCCACTTGCGATTAAATAAACATGTTTTACCCATCACCATCTCCAGCCATATTCTCTCCACTGCTGGATGATAGCGCACATCTCTGGTTCAGTGCTTTGGAGGTAATGGTCAGTGGATCATACACATGTCTGAGACTTAGCAACCCTTTCGTCTGGAGATAGCAATACAGAAAGGGACATGCCATCTATGTGGACATTTTTATATCCTCGTATTTGTGAGTTTTCTCTAGGTACTTTGTTTTCCTCTTAACAAGTGATTTTGTCCAAACATCCAAAAGTATAAACTTCCTCAAGTCTTCAGATTTCCTAGAGAAGTCGTTACTTGATAACACTGTGGAGATGTAAAAATGTGTTTTATTCTTCACTTGGTTAGTTTTAAAAGCGATATACCCTTTATCCAACTGATTTGAACAAATATTTATATTGGAAACCCATTGATTGCATGTTTTTTTCTGTGTGGTGGTTACAGCAACAGATAGGCTTGGCTTGGCCTGGCCAGAAGAGAACTGCTGATTCCGCGGACTCCAAACTGTCGGATTAGTAGAGATGAACGACCGTGAGAATAACAACATCTCGACCAACCCATTCGCAGCGCTCTTTGGATCAGTGGCTGATGCAGAGCGCTTTTCAGCCAAACAGGGCCAACAGCATGGTGACAAGATTGAGGGTGAGTGTGGACGAGGAACTCTTAATTATCAGCATTTTCTCCCCCTAGGTTTTTGCTCCTTAAAGTAGCTGTATTTGATGGAGGGCATGACGATTTGGTGGAACACTGAGAAAATGATCTCAAGGTCCTGAATTTAAATCCTGGTTGGTGATGTATAAATCCCTATAAGCTGGGGTTAGTATTCCACTTGTCACTGTGTGAGCAGGATGTGATCGCATCTGAATAAAATGAGTCCTGTCATAGACAAGTGGAGATCTATTTATCAACTCAGGATTGCCATTTGAGATGAGTGCTGTATAATGCTCATCCTGCAGAAGGAGTGACATGACACTTCATCTGATCCTCAACACTCACCAGTGTATGCAAATATATAGTGGGAAAACCCATTGAGATTCCATGTCTCCCCTTGGCCCTACATCCCATGCCCCCCTGCATTCTCCACCCTCTCCCAACCAACACCATATGCCAATACTTTGTATACTTAAAAAATGAGACTGGAGCTGACATCACATGCCAAGCTATTATTACAAACAGTATAACGGTATATAGCACCGGATTAAATAAGGCAAATTATTGTATGAAACATCTTATTTGATTAAAATCTAGACCTTATTGTAAAATACATATAAGCTTTTACATGATACCTCTTTTTCTCAAATCCATGTGTATTGGTCTCAGAGTTCTTCGGCCAGCACACGTATGTATGTTGAACTTTTTTTTGCACTGTACGTAGCCAACTGTTATTTGGAGGTGCGATGGAAGGACAACAAACTAAACAAAAAAATCAGTTATATAACATAACATTCTACATGGCACAATATAATATCATTGTGGAGAATGAATAACAATAAATAACCAGGCACTATATCTCCTTCATATGCCTGTCCCTCCATATTAAAAACAAAAGTTTCTTTACACTTCCAATCTATCACACATTATGTATTCCTGGAAGGTCTTTTTGGTTGAGCGAAAGTGTAAAATGTACTTTTATTATTAACTAGCTTTACTACCCGGCTTCGCCCGAGACTTGGATTCTTGTCTTGGATTAATAGACGGCCTACGCGGAGGGTGGGGGGGGGATGCGTGACGTCAGCAGGCACATTGCGTAACGCTGCCGCATGCATCACAGATTTGACGTCACTGCTCACTTGCCGTGCAAAATATATCCATTATTGCGCCCCCCCACAAAATACAAAAGTATATTGTTTTGGCATTGTGTACAGTCTGGAAACTGCCCACATGCCAAATTTCAAGTTTGTTGCATGTCGGGAAGTATGCTAAACATTTCGAACAGACACACATATTCACAAATTTCCCTTTTATATATTTCGATGTGGAGGGACACGTAAGTGGTAATACTATTTAAGTAATAGAATAAATTGTAATTCACTTATCCAGGAAAGCCACTCTTGTGTCGTACACATTAGCCACTGATTATATCGATATTTTCTTATGCATGATAGCAGGACCACACGTTTTCACTTTTTAAATTGCACACCAGTCTGCTGTACATGTGGACGGCAAGTAACGACTTGCGCCTCGTAAAACAGATGAGAGCCCCACAGAGGGTTTCACGGAGAGCAGCAGCAGCAGCAGGTCAGAGAGCGCCGACGAGGAGACTGAGGACTCGGTGGAGGCGTGCAAGCGGGACTTCCGCAACCAGCAAGAGACCTGTGTGCACCTCAACCTCAACCACATGATCCAGCGCGTCTTCCTCATCACGCTCGACAGCAGTGAGTCAAAGCAGCGCCCGCCGCACGTTGCCCCGCGACAAGCAGGGGTCAAAGATTGATTTTGCTCATTGCTAGTAACCTGCGTAAGTGTGCCGGTGGCATTGGGTGTAACGTTTGGAGGGATTCGCCGAGTCGACCGACTTCAGCGTGGCTTTCTGTGCTCCAAAATTACATTTTTTGCTTTGTCAAGCGATGAAAAGTTAATTGAGTTTTGTTTGGTTGAATTTGTTTGCCTTCAGTTCAGAAATGACTGTAGTCTTTGCAATGCCCTGGAAAGGGCACTATGTAAATCCTCAATAGAAAATACAAATTTCTGAATGTATTTTGCAATATTCTTGGTTCTTTGGGTAAAGTCACATAGAAGGGAAAACATAAAATAATAAAAATATGAAACAAAAAAATTATCTGCAACACAAGCAATCATCATCAGGTGTGATGATTGCTTGTGTTGCAGTCGAGACGTCGTGATAATTTTATTGTTTATATTTTTATTATTTCCCTTCTACGTGACTTTACCGAAAGAACCAAGAATATGAATCCCTGCAGTCACGAAAGCTTTAAATCAAAATATTTTGCAGTGTTTTGGAATTTTGCCTTTTTTTGCTTTGGATGCAGAAACAAAAAGCTTCTGCTTTATGGGCCATATAGTTTGTCTTTTTTCCACACTGCTGTTTGATATCACATTGTATTTATACCCTGTGCGTCCCTTGCACAAATGTACTGTTGTCTTACTGGTCACTGACCTGGTCATAAATAATATTTATTTACTGTGTATGTTGTGCAATATTTATGGTGTTAGGTTATATCTGTTCATGATTGAACATCTCCAGCTTGTGTTTTTTTTCAACAGGACTTGGCCCAAATATTTCTAAAATACTAAATTCAATGCGAAAATCAAATGTTTCCAAAAACATTATACAGCATACATGTGTGTAGTTGTGCAGATACCTGTGTGGGGAACAGTGGCACAGTGGTTAGTGCACTGCGCTACAAAATCGGCAACCTGAGTTTGATTTCTGATGCAGTGTGGAGAAACATCAGGATTGAGGGTGTTGTGCTAGCCATACCACCGCCCCAACGCATCCTTCATAGTGGCTAACAGCACTTAGTCTTAAAGGCCTCCATGAAGGGATATTTATATGTTTGTGCGTGTACAGGTGAACCCAGCACTCGGAACAGCAATGGGATCCCACCATGCTGCGTTTATCTGCAGGAGACAGTTGCGCAGCCAGACGCACAAGATTGGCTCGATATGGACAACTTGGAGCAGGTAAGTGGTCGCATGCAATTGTAGAGCAGCCTTCTGACGGACAACGGAAACGGTTTCCGTATTTCCAGCAGATTGCTTCGTTTTAATATCTCACAGGCGCATTGTTGGTACGTGAATACAAATGAGTGCTTACAATGCGATGCTTTTACTTGTTTTGTGTGGCACATTTACTCTGAGTGCCCCAGTGCTCGTGACTTGGATTTTTTAATCAACAATTTAGCATTGGCATAGTGCGCTCATGCATCAGTCAGTGCTTGGTCTGCTCTGGAATGGATAATGTGTTTGGAAAAAATGAAGATGTCTGCATGTGTCTTTGAATATGGAGTATATGTTACGTTTTAAATGGTAATTTTTGCATTGTTTGTATATTCACACGTCATGCACTTTCACGATTCAAATGAAACGGAGTTTATTTAAAAGTGCTGTACATTTCTTATGCCATCATGGTGAAGGATGGTTAAACCACCCCCTGCAGTCCATCGCAGGTTTGATGAAGGGCTGTGGATCTATGTGTATGTATGTGTGCTAATTAAATAGTATATCATGTTTCTTGGGTTAATACGGACGGTGCGCATGTGTCTGTGTGGCTGCAGGCGTTGTTCACGCGCCTTTTGCTGGTGGATCCGGACAGACATGTGGTTTCCATGACCGCCGGCCAGGCCAATTTTTCAGCGGAACGTGACGCTGGGGAGCACAGCGTGCTGCACTATCTCCTCGCCTGCTACCGGCGCGCCAAGATTGAGGTGCCCGTCCTCACATTCGTGAACGCGCGAGGTGGCAGTACAGCGACTGATTCTTGAATCGGTCCGTGCAGAGCTATGAGCAATATCCCCGGCTGTGTGTGTGTGTGTCGGTCCTCTTCGCGAACTCCAGGTTCACATCCCACGTGCCAGTCCGCTTATTGGTTAGAATTGGCCAAACATCCAAATACTGGACCCTCATTAAGAGTCTTGAGACCTGAGTGGGTAAATAAGTGTATTATAATGCTAAAACAAAACATTTAAGTTGGGCTGTTAGCAGATGTCTATGCCAATAACCTTTTACTGATGAAATTACAGAATATCTTGCTTGTGTGCCTTGAATTTTTTTCCACAATTACAATAACAGCTGCATTGTACTGTATTGCAGCATAATAGTATATTCGGACTTAATATGATTGTACAATAGGCACAGCACGTTGCACAAATGATCTGCGAAATGAATATACAAATATTTTTGTTTGATTGAAAGGGAACAGGACACCCCGCAAAGCCAGATTTACCTCTTGGGCGTAAGCACAGACACAATGGAGTTTTATTGTCTCACAGCTTTTAATGAACATGAGACAAGCAAAAAAAAAGCGACCCCGCTCTTGAAGGCAGGTTTCACACGCGAGTCTATACGCACACAAAATTAGCGGTGGTGGCGGGAGGCGCGGGGTGGGGGTGGAGCCCTCCTGGTGTGTTTTGTGTGCGTTTGCTTCTCCAACTTTGGTTGCGGTAGTCCAGTCGTTAGTGCATTGCGCTTCGAAGCTGACGACCTGAGTTCGATTCCCGCTCGCGGTCAACACCAGTGACGGTCCGGGGCCTCCCCTAGGTCGCCTCAGCCTTAAATGACAACCTGGTGCAATGTGTAAACATCGCCACTGGGGAGATAAAGATGGCCGGGTGTGGGGCTGGGCCACCCCACCCGCTTGTGTGCTGTGTTGGCCTTTATACTGTAGGTGCTTGCGAACAACACTTGCGCCAACAGTTTGTTAAGGTTATATGGGGCACTTTGTCTTGTCTTTGCTTCTCCAGCTGGCCAAAGTCCCGGAGCACTTGCTTGGCTCCGTGGTTCAGTGCCGCAATCTCTGCGTGTCCAACGCGCGAACGAGCCTGCTGACGCCAGAAATCTACCCTGACACGGACACGCATGCCCAGCTGCTGGAACTGCTGGCCGACTCTGCGTCTGTCACCCCCGGCGAGTGTAAACTGTAAAAAAAAAATTCCGTTTCAAATTACAACAGCGGAGCGGTGGCCAGTTGGCTGCAGGGGGTGCTAAACAGCGTGTCGGGAGCATTGGCCCCGGCACCGCTGAGAAATCCCGGGCTAGAAATCGAGACAGTCGCTTGTGATTGTACAGGGTTGTCAAGTGCTGTGCGTTGATGGTTGTCAGCCTGGTAAACAATGGCTGAACAAAAACATTTGATTAAGTTTGTATTTTTTCACTTATTTGGCTGTTTTCCAGCACTGAAGATTAACATATCTTCTGTTTGCTTGGCATACAACGAACGCAGGACAATTGAAGGCTCTGCCTTGGGACCCTATTGAGGATGAATGTCTTTTGAAGTGACTTTAGAATTTGTTCTATGACATCATCTTTTCAGGGCTGTTCTTTGAAACAGGGTGATGCACTGCTAGCTGCAAGAATTCCCAATGTAACATTCCTTCATTGTGTGGCATGGTGAAATTTGCACGATTGGAATATCGATCTAAAGGGTGGCAAGGTGTTACGTTCCTTGCCTGGTGCACAATAATATATGGGTTCGACCCCTGCCCTGTCGCCTGCGTGTTTGGAGTTTCTGTGTTTTCCTCATGGTCGCGTTGATTTTTCTCTTGAGTCCTCCGGTTTTGCCATCCACATTGGGAAACATACATTTAGCTTAATTTACTGCAACTATGAATCGCCACATGATATAAGCCACTTGGATGACCGTTTGTGGCCAGGTCACCTTTGAAAAGAGCTATTAGCTCAGCAGGATTTACCTGGTAAATGAATAACTTGTAGATTAAAGCAAGTGAGTTGCGTATAATTTTCCTTCACTGCCCTCATAATAAACTAAGATGGTTATAGCTGTAACATTAATAATTTAGTATGAAACCGATAATTAAGTTTCGATTTAAAGCTTTCGTGACTGCAGGGATTCATCTTCTTGGTTCTTTCGGTAAAGTCACGTAGAAGGGAAGTAATAAAATAATAAAATTACTTCCCTTCTACGTGACTTTAACGAAAGAACCAAGAAGACGATAATTAAGTGTTTAGCTAATATATGTAGAGGCAGGGTAGTGAGGGCAGACACAGATGCTTTCTACGTTTGATAACGTGACTGGGAATTGGCTTTGCAGATCTCTGCGTAAAAAACGATGGAGAACATTGTAGGGTCATTTCTCTCCATGACAAAATCCTGCACGCATGGAACAAACTACATTTTTATCTTCCGGGGTAGTAAATTTCAACATACCACACTTTTACAAAGTTCTCTGATGTGGCAATGAGCAGAAGAACATCTGTAAGATACACTTTTACAAACCAACATATTGGGTTTATTTCGAACGGCTCATCTAAAATTTGTATGAACTTCAAATGCGGGTGGAAATCAGTCATGTATACAATCAGGGGGAGATGATCTAATACACCCCCCCCCCCGGCTGTGTGTAATTCGCCGATCCCCAGGTGGGGAGCTAGGCGAGGGGGCTGAGTTCATGCAGGCGGTTCTGTCGGCGATGGTCACCGAGGGCGACTCCCTGGAAGACGCCTTTTGGCCAGCGCTGGACGTGCTGCGGGGGCAGCTGGAGACGACGCGTCTGGAGGGACCAGCCCTGCCGCGCTGCTTGGCGGCGCTCAGCGCCTGGGTAGCGCACCCCGAGTTGGCCAAGGTGTGCGCGCGGTGGGGCTGGGCAAGCTTGCGGTTGTGTGCGGTGTGTGCGCAACGTGGTCACGCACACAGTTGTGCAGATGCACGGCGGGCATATTGTTGCGTGTGAACGCAGCGTTACTATAAAAATGGATGCAACTGCGGCAAAGATGATTTAAAATAAAGATTTGGATTGTGAATCATACAAAATGCTTTGTTATAACAAGCACAGGCCGTTATGCTATTAGAACATGTGCTTAATGTAACAGATTGCATTACGCGAGCAACGTGTACTTTTGAAGGCATGCCTCCTTCTCGTTCATTTTTTTGTGGTGTTTTCCACGCATGCATTGTGATAAAATGACCACATCTTTTTTTTCATCTTTCAGTCAGGTCATGCCACACGTGTCAGCACGTGCTACAATGCAACATTTGTTTGGCTTTGTGTATAAGATATGGGGTTCTAGATTTGAAGCTTTCGTGACTGCAAGGATTCATACTCTTAGGTTTTTTCGGTAAAGTCACGTAGGGGAAAAATAAGTAATAATAAATAAATAATAAAAATGATAGAAGAAATAATATAAATAAAATAATAAATCACGACGTTTCGGAGGCAACACAAGCTTCTGTCTTCAGGTGGAACCGTCACAGCACAATTGCTGTATCAAGTATTATTTATTTTTTACCTACGTGACTTTACCGAAAAAACCTGCGAGTAAGAAATGGGGTGATCTAGATATCTGACAATCTTTGTGCGACACTCAAGGGGGACGTAGAAGAGATGCAGGTGGACTCGCCCAACTACATTTAACCGCTGCGTGTGTGCGTGTGTGCGCGCGCGCAGGTGCTGATGCGGCACGTGGCAGTGGCGGATGGCCAGCAGGGCGCGCAGTACGACGGCACGATCCTGGGTGCGGTGCTGCGCCCCTCCTGCCTGCCCCTGAGCCCCTTCGCTCCCCCAGGCCCCTCGGGCGTCGGGCAGCAGCCATACTTCTCCAACCCGACGCGCATTGGCCCCCACGAGCTGCACATGCAGGAGACCAACATACACCAGGTCCGTGCTTCTACTGATACACAGGAACACAGAAAGCTATACTGACAGCTTACTTAGCAGCGAGTAATACAGCTGACCAGCCACCCAGTCCAGCTAAATGCCCATGCTACCACTCTTGCAATATCCAACACTGTGTGCCCACAGGGCGCGTGCATGCAGATAATGCTTTGGGCATTAAAAAATATATAATAGAATTGGTATTTTCAAAAACAACATTAGGTACAGGAAAGCACATAATTAGGATACATGACATCTATACAACCAGCACAAACAAGCATAACCATAGGAGACCATACGTATAACGCAGGAATTGAATCGAAGAGCTCGAGAAAGGAAATAGACAAACAGGAGATAGAAAAGATAAAGGAATTGAGAATAGCGATGGGTGGAAGTAGAAGAATCGTCTTTGGACCTTCCCTGATTTAGAAGTTATGTTTTAGCGAAATTTTGTATTTTAAGTTCCCGTATAACAAGGGATGACTCGTTTTTTTTAGGAAATGTGCAGGCCCGATACATCACGTTGTGATGCACATACACTTTAAGGGATAACTACTTAAAGCATTTCTTAGTTTTTATTTAAACGAAAACTGCATACAGTAGTTTAGTGGTACACATTGCGGAATGCCCTCTTATGGACCTCAAGGATCACACGACCACCCCATCACCACGAACGAGTGTTTGTTATGTTACGCGAACTCAAGCTATGCAGAAATATTGCTATGTGCATTATTACGCATAACACCGGATCCGTATGTTTGTATTTGAACGTGCCTATATATATGTAACATTACTACTGCTATTTCCATCATCATTTCTGCATGATAATCACTGTGTTTTTCACCGTGCTCGTGCTGCAGTTGATGTCGCACCTGCAAGAGCAGATGAGCCTGGTGCTGCGGACACTCATGCAGAACCCGGAGACGCGGCACGAGCTGCTTTCCTGGCTCGCCGGATGCTTGAGCGCCAATGCCGGCCGGCGCAAGCTCTGGGCCAGCCAGATGCCTGCCCTCTTCCATCAGGTGCGCAACGTGACGGGGCACGCTGTGGCAGGCCCGGGTTACGTTTGTGTGCGTCTCTATGAATTTGCCTCCACAGGGTTGATTGAGTCTGCGGTGCGAGTACTCGGAGAAGAGCTCCCACTTGGGTCCTTCAGACTTCATGAGTATTATTATGCGGCGAGCGTCCTCTATTTGGTCAATTTAGCTCAGATTAAAATAATAATACGAGATTAAATAGATTACTGAGTTTGCTGCTTATGAACCTCGCATGGTGCTAAGATCATAACCAGTCAGGCTCTAGATTCATATACAGGGATAACAACAAAGGACATTTTTTTCATCTGCAAAATCTTTGACCCTATCATAATAGTTGGTCAATTTTCAATGTTGGGACTGCAGTTTCTGATATGAAGGGGTAGAATTGACAAACCATGCCGTGTCACCTAGCTTCCTGACCACCATCCTCACGTCTTTGCAGGGCTTCTCCTCCTGATGGTATGCTGCTGAACCTAGGCGGTGTCCTTGCACGCCTCTGCCGTCCGTTCTGCCGCCCGCATTCTCCCAAGTTGCTGGGTTTCGACCCCACGTATTGTGCAGCGGGATCGCTGGAGCCGACCGCGCGTGCGGCACGTGGAGTGCACATGGCTGGTGAGGGAGCGAGGAAGGAGCTTCTGGAGTTGAAGCTTTCGTGACTGCAGGAATCCATACTCTTTTGTTCTTTCGGTAAAGTCACGTAGGTAGAAATAAAATTAAACAAATCACGACGTTTCGGTCGCTTGTGTTGCGATCGAAACGTCGTGATTTGTTTGATTTTGATTCTAACTACGTGACTTTACCGAAAGAACCAAAGAGTAGAGCTTCTGGAGGTTTCACTTGACATGGGAAGCACTCAGTTGGAAAATGCATCCCCAAAAAATGTTATGTATTTTAGCATATCTTGAGAAATTATTAAAATGGAATGGCCTAAACACACACTTTATGCAATATGTCATGAACCCCACTTCTATTTCATGATGCAGTCACTCTTATTCTGGGCTTTCAGACACAGTGTACTTAGCTCGTCAATATTGTAAAGCTTGCTTTCAGTTGTAAATGTTTCTACATTTTTGTAAACCATCAAATATATTACAAATGCAAAACTCTTACCTGGAGTGCTACTCTGTTGAAGGAAAAAATTGATTGTATTATAAAATAACTTTTTACACAAGTGGTCATGGTGGAATATTAAAATTTTCACTTCTTTTAATAAATGAAACTTTTGAGGTTTTGTATCCATTCAGATCTCTCAGAACATTGGAACCCTTCGCATGAGAGAAAGGTCCATTTAAACAGATATCACAGAAGCTACCTCTGAGATCACTTCAAGTGACCTGGCCTTACTTCTAATGACCTGGCCTTCTCAGTACAGAGTAGCACTTTCCCACTCACTCTACCACATTGAGAGAGTAATGTTTGTCACAAGACAGTCAAAGCAGATATTGTACTTCTCGGAGCTGGACCTTAAGCACATTAATCACAGAACCAAAATTACTGTGATCTGTTATATTTTGTGCAGTCATTGGTGACCAGGCTCAGACCATCAACTCACTCCACTTAAGGACCCAGTTTAATCAGAGGCAGCTTGCCTGGATTAGAGCCAGAGGTCACAAACGGGTTTTGATTCTTTACCCGTACCCGTACCCGGCCGCACCAGGGTCGCAAACGGGTACCCATACCCGGGTATCGGGTAGGGTACGGGTATCGGGTACCCGATTGCGACCTCTGATTAGAGCCCAGCATCTCAGTGGCACCAGCTCCGTGCTCTGACCTCCCGAGCCACCCAGCTACTAAATTGGTGGTTATTTTAATAGGCCGGTGCTTCCGTTGTGTGCTCACAGGACTCGAGAAGGAGACATGCCTGGTGCCAAGCGACCCGGGCGAGATGGCGAATCTGGCCGAGTCGTACAACCTGCTCACAGAGATGCTGATCATGGCACAGCTGACCCTCAGTATTGGCTTCCACAGGTAGTGCGCACGTGGGCACACAGTGTTGGATATCGCGCAAGAGTGGTAGCATGGGCATTTAGCTGGATGGGTGGCTGGTTTGCTGTATTACTCGCTGCTAAGTAAGCTGTCAGTATAGCTTTCTGTGTTCCTGCGTATCAGTATTTTTCATCTAAATGCCACTAAAGGAGATTTGAATTGTTTTTCAGAGTATTTTTTTTATTATGCAGAAAATAACATGAAAACGCAGTTAATTGTTTCTCTCGTGATTTTGTCTCTTATTCCCAATTACATTCCAATTGTGGTACCGGCATCATGGCATTAGAAAATGGAGTACAATTTCATTCAGAACTTTTACAGAAAACAGTGCATTACTCCATGTTGGAGGATGCCCTGTGAAAGATAACATGACACAATGAATGATCAAATTCTTCAATTGCCTCTTACCCTACCTTTAATGTGCTCCAACGAGTCTTCTTTGCATAGCAATTGAACCAATCCATTTTTAGTCCTCAGAAATGAAATATGCTCAACTCAGTGAAAAACGTCATCTAGTGGTTTATTTGGCAACCATTGGTAACCGATTTAAAGCTTTCGTGACTGCAGGGATTCATCTTCTTGGTTCTTTCGGTAAAGTCAACGCCGAAACGTCGTGAGAATTATTTTATTTTATTATGTTTTATTTTTGTTATTTTATTACTTCCCTTCTACGTGACTTTACCGAAAGAACCAAGAACATTGGTAACCGGTTTAATTAGAGGTGGTTTCTTGGATTAAAACCCAAGTGTCATCACTGCCAGCTCAGTGCTCTGCCATGACATGTGCCCCCTAAGCAACCTAGCACACCTCTCGCATCGTTGACTTGAATTCTCCCTTTCAGTTCCTTGTCGTTTGAATGACTGTGTTTAATATTTACGTAGGCAACACGAGGAATACATACAAAAGACTACGGTGAAGCAGAAAGAGAAAATTTCGATTTAAAGCTTTCGTGACTGCAGGGATTCATCTTCTTGGTTCTTTCGGTAAAGTCACGTAGAATTGAAGTAATAAAATAATAAAAATAAAACATAATAAAATAATTTTCACGACGTTTCGGCCACAACGCAAGTAGTCGTCCTCAGGAGAGACAGACCTGTTCTCTACCTGACTTTACCGAAATAACCAAGAACAGAAAGAGAAACTTGCGGGTAAATACTGGATGTGCCTCTTGCGGCAGGATGCACGGTGAGCTGGTCAACCTGAATCGGGCTCTGCATCAGCTCCGTGCCGCCTGGCAGGACGCCACGACGGTTGGGTCACCGGCCGCTGCTGGGCTGCAGGAGCGCTTTGAGCACGCCACCTCAGCCTACCTGAGTTTAAAGGCATGGCATCCCAACACATTCCCTAACGCAGGTGCAGCCTGAGCATGTTGTACTCTTGGACAGTGTTCATGATCATCATCACCGTAATCGGTCTGCGGGGCCACGTCCCTGTGTGGTCCTGTCTTCTCATCCTCTATTTGTCTATGTCACACTCTCGTCTTTTCTTTTTCAAGGCCTCGATTACTTATTTTCGGTCACCTTATTGGCCTGCCTCATGGTCTTCTCTATCTGTCCCCAACTCAAATACCATTTTCGAATAAAAATTTCCTTCATTCACTTAGTGTGATCATACGTCTTAATACTTGTTGCCTAAATAACTTTTTCAGCAGCTGTTCTTTTCCTTGCACGTGTCTGATTCAAATGTTTGTTACCCTATACCATTTTCCCCAAAGGCTATGGTTGTCAATTTGCATGGAAGCTGTCTGTTCATTGATTAACATCGATTATTATGATAGATGCATCGAACTGTAAATATAGAGAATAAAATATTGATGTATGCGAATTACATCCAAGTCATATGCTCATGTTGCATTTAAACTGATGGCATGCAAAACAGATCATTACCGAGACAAAAAGAAATTGATTCCTGAATCCATTCCACAACTCCGAATCGCGAGACTTTATCCAATCACCTTTGAGGAGTGAATTTTTTACATGCCTAGATGTTAAAATGTATATTTTTTTATGAGTATTCCGCCCCCATCATCCCTGTGTTTTCTGACTGCAGGCAGCCCTCACTGAGCCACAGGCACTTGGCCACTCCCTGGCCGTTCAGGCCGCCACTGCCGAGCTCTGTGTGCAGTACGCACTGGGAGAGGGGCGGCCGGGAGAGTACCTCCAAGTGCAGTTTGCCGACGAGAACGATGCGGAGGGCAGCGCCGGGTTGGTGGGCAGCCTCCTCAAACACACACCGGGTATGCTGCAGGGACTGCACGTCAGAATCATAATCTTTATTTTTAGACTGGAGGAATCCGATGAGCACTCAAGCTTTCTTTCACAAATGTCCCACTAATTATTACCATTTATGATGTCAGTTGGTCCCTCCGTCCAGCTGTTTTGTACACGGTGTCCATAAAAGGTTTCGTCTATTATTATTGAATTAAGCGCAGCGGTTTGGAATGAGTTGGTAAAACTGTATTCACATGCACACACACTTGGTAGTATGAATATCTAATTACGTGAGTTTCATTCGCCTAAACCTCCACTTGTTCGCCATGGTGATTATGAAACATCATATTGAGATACGAGTGTTTTGCCAACATCTTGGTTGTGATTGATTTGAATGTGTCTGTTCATAATACATTTCTCAGAGTGATTGTTACTAGTGGCGTATAATACAGATATACAGGGATTTTCTAAGATCGTTATACACGATTCATGAACTGCGCTTTGAGATGTTGGAATAACCATTTCTTACTAAGCATTTTAAATTGATCACATCTCACGACTGCTTTGACCTGTTCAGCAGTTTCTCTGGAAGTGGTGTTGTGCCTGCTTAATGTGTTATTCCATGTCAGTGTATGTCATATTTAAACAAAATATGATACCAGCGCAAAATATTATTTGGTCTCAGTGATGTTTTGCTAAACCGTCTTCGAAACGCTCATATAACTTTGCAATTTTACACATCGAATTACACTAATTTCATCATCATAAAAGAATGCCATTTTGTTAAATGGGACGTGTCTGACATCTAGTGGTAAAACTCTGTAGTGCATAGTGAATATTTCTCGCATTTTCACGAAGCATTTCAGATCGTCTAGATGAAATAAAAAACCTTTATGCCCAGCTCGCATAGTGAGTGAGGTGTGTATAGAACGTGATCTGTCCAGGTGGTAGTGATGGTGGCTAAGAAATACAAATAAGAAAAATAGCTTGTGCACAAAGTTCGTCTTCCGAGGTGTCTTAAAAATCATGAGAACCATACACTAACATTACTATAATCGTATTTACCACCTATATTCATCAGCAATTTGTATTCTACTTTTAACTGGAATTCACATTGCGTTAATTTTGGCAGTGCCGTTATTTCCACAAACTAATTGTCAGTAATTGAGGTGGCTGTCAATATTGATGTAGTGATTAATTTATGTTTCTCTCTGTGTGTATGTGCCTCTTCGTTTGTATGTTGTGTATAGATGCCTGTGTGGTGTTCCCACATATATATATGCCATATTGCATGCTTGATGGTTTGCGCTGCAGAGTTCTTGGTGGACAACCTGGCCGACCTGCTCATCTTCCTGCGGAGGTTTTCTGAAGCGACGCTGGAGGAGACTGGGGACTCCCTACAGGACTTCCTCAACCTCATCACCCTCTTCATGGGCAGCACTCATCGGTATGTACCCACATCTTCTTGGTTCTTTCGGTAAAGTCACGTAGAAGGGAAATAATAAAAGAATAATAGGTTTTATTTTTATTATTTTATTATTTCCCTTCTACGTGACTTTACCGAAAGAACCAAGAAGATGAATCCCTGCAGTCATGAAAGCTTTAAATCGAAATGTACCCACATGTCGCTGCAAGAGATCTGACGTGACGCCGAGAGCATAATCCGGATAAGATTTGGTAAAAAACCTGCTCCACCATGCCTCTCACCACTGCCTTTTTTGCTCATTTGCCCTGCCCCCCGGTGGCACCACCGCATGCACAGTATGCGGAACCCCCACCTGCGAGCACGCCTGGCCGAGGTGCTGGAGGCCGTGATGCCACGCGTCGAGGAGGCGACGCCACCCTCCGGTCCGCCCGTGCCCACGCTGCGGCGCGAGCAGGCCTTCACCACTTATCCGCACGCGGCCCGGCTCGCTTGCGCCCTTCTCAACGTCTTCGTCGACATCGAGTTCACCGGTGAGTGTGACACTGGGCCTGCGAGGTTCCTCCGCTAAGAATAAGTATAATTTAATACATTTGTTCTTTGTGTCCTCAGAGCATAGTTGTTTTGTGGGAGGGGAGGGCAATTTATGAGTCATCTCATTTGATTAATTGAGGTGTGTATAGACAACTCCATCACACGATCGTCTACCCTGGGAAAGGACGTCACGGGATTTTTTAAGTCCGCTGCGAAGCATGTGTATTTTCTGGTTCACACACCAGCAGTATTACCCAGGGTGGCCTGCCGGATTCAAACCACAAACGTCTGCAACAAATGAACCTCATGGCGGGACCCCGGGGTCCCATAAGCCCCCGACTCTCGTGTAAACATATTATAATGTAAACAGAAACTTTGCTCTTTTTCCACAATGGGTTTGAAGGATGGTGGCAAGTGTTGTCTTGTTAAACTATGCCTTTAAAACTGACAACTACTTACCTGCAGTACCTCTATTTTAAATACACTATCGAAAAAATTATTTACACCCCTCTGTCAATCATCGTGTTTCTCAGTGTGGATTTGTTAACACACTTTGTAAACAGTACAGAAAATAGTACGCGTTTTCAATGCGCCGTTCATATTGTAACAAGCGTTTATACCAATGTTACTCTACAGAGCAGTGGGTCGCCGCTTCTCTTATCCGCATTGATACGAGCGGTGTGTGGGGACTTTGGCTTAACCGCAAAAAAAACCTATCTGCACAGATCCATACGGAGAATAGAAGTATTATCAAACAGGAGGAATTAACAGTGCAATGCATCTCATCTGTTAAATATCTGCAGGTAATAGGATTGGCATCGATTGAGCCTGGCTGCAGACATTGGTAGGTCACAAATAATAATGAAGATAAGAGCAGTTTCACTGTATTAGGCATACCGTTATAACAAATAAAGGACTTCAGTCGTGTAGGCAGTCTGAGCAGCTTTGAACAAGACTTATGATCCTGCCCATACCCGAGCATGGAGTACATTCGCTTGTTCAGCTGTTCTGCGCATTCGACCTCGCTGCTGCGCTTGGACGACACGACAACAGAACGATCCGCGCCAGTTGGGTCGCGGCGTTTATGTGCGCGGTGGGACGGAGTCGCCAAAAATAAATAAATGCATTACGATTTTGACTTCCGTTTATTCGGGACTCCGGGGTCCCGCCATAGGGTTCAAATGGTGAATGTGCAACCGCTGGGCCATCTCACTGCCTCAAAGCGGGAGACAAGCGGAGTGTAGACAAAGACAAGGGTGTGATGGGCACGTTCGTCTGTTAACCTGCGTTTATCCAGGAAAGCCTCCCAGGGTCTGGAAACTTTCTCTGGAGAGTCGGTCTTTTATTGGGATGTTAGATTAATTTCTTCTTGTGAGTGTTTTGCATTTTTATTTGAAAAATTAAGCACTTGGGGTAGACGTAAAAAAAGCCCACCTCGATGTGGGGATTTTACAATCTCCACGATCCACCGACCCTTGACTCCAAAGCTCTAGGTTACAGGTGGATGCCACCACGCCCGGCAGAGTTCAAGTTGCTTGGAGAAACTCAGGGTAGAATAGTGCAGCCCATAATGTGTAATAGCAGGTGGAAGAACAGGAGAGTAATTATGAATGGGAAGACCACTCCGGCCAGAAAACGCAAAACTGATCAACAACACACAAACACTTTTTTCTAACATTTTACATGGTTAAAGAATGTGTCTTGTTTTTTTTTTGTACGCTGTATTAACAGGTGACCCGCACCATTTTGAGCAAAAGTTTAACTACCGGCGACCGATGTACCCAATTCTGCGGTACATGTGGGGTCAGGATGATTACCGGGCCAGCATCAAGGTCAGTACAAATCTCCAGACAAAAACAAAGCCGCGCTGCAGCTGAGCATTACCCTGATTATCCCGGGCCGAAACATAACATAATTTACGAGTATTTTTCATCTACTACAAACTCGCCACCATTATTAGCCTTGCCTTGTGCTCACTTGTTACGCAATTGTAATTCCCAAAAGGCTGCATTAAGTTATCTCGTAAAAAAAATGCCAGCTTGTATTTCTGTCACCTTCAGTATGAACGCGTTCCGTGTGTGTGTGTGTGCAGGATCTGGCAAATCAGGCATTGCAGAACATCGACGCCACGAATGCACCCCTTTTCCTCCGATTCCTTAACTTGCTGCTCAACGATGCCATATTTTTACTGGATGAGGCCATACAGGTACGACCAACACTCCAAAAAACACGAACGCACGCAAAGGCAAATATCCCCTTTATAGCCTAGAATTGTTTCGAGTGCTATTAGCAAAGACCTATTGATGCTGCTACAACCCATGCTAGGATGCCTGGTTGCCTTTGTCTCCCCAGTGCAGATGTTTACAAACTCTACCAGGTTCACGTTGAATGCCGAGTCGACCTAGGGGAGGCCCAGGACTGACTCACATTTTCACCACTGATGTTGGCCATGGATGGGAATAGAATTAGGTCACTGGATTTGTAGCTGAGTGCCCTGAAAACTGCCTCCACTCCTCCCTCATACACACGTACACTGTGCTTTACCTACAATTATTTCTCCTTTTTATTTTTAGTATAAATCTCTGACATGATTATACTGATGTCCCATTTGAAATAAAGTGTATATTTTTTAGATTTCCCCTTGGTTTTAAGGAAAGCGGCAGTGCTTAGTTATCTCCACGTATAAATCGATGTCTAAGTTGTAAATTCAGTGGTGAATTGCTCCCTGGGAGAACGTTCGCAGTGGACGTGAGTTCGCGATGCGTCCCTCCGTCTGTCGTGATGCGTCGCAATATTTTCCTTTCGGGCGATTCTCGGCAAAAGCATGGAATTCAAACCGATTGCCCCTGTGTCGTACGCGTGGCAATGCAGTATCTGAGCCGCATCAAGGTGCTGCAGCTGGAGAGAGAGCGCGGCGAGTGGGACGGTGATGAGCCCGCAGCGAGACGCGAGCGGGAGAACAGCCTCAACATGTTTGGGCAGCTGGCGCGCTTCCACAACATCATGTCCAACGAGACAATCCGCACGCTCGCATTCCTCACTCAGGGTACCACGTCCACATGTCTGTCATCTGTCCAGCCATTCTTGGGGGAATTGGATTTTTAAGTGTCTTTGAGTTGTGCGCCTTTTGGCGTCATCTGGTCCAACCCATGTGAGACTAGGCTCTAAGGAAAGCTGTCTCGGGTGTGGACCAATCAACTTCAAGGACAGTGCACATTATGAGAGTTAGGTCTTTTGTTTGTATTATGACTGCAGGTATTGCGGTCTATGCAAACATGACTCCTTGTAAAAAAGTGTCAGTTTTGTTGCCAGATAGAAGGGTAAAAAACCAATTATCATATATCATAATTTTCAGCTCTTTTGCCAATGTTTAGCTGGATGAAGGCCTCACCGAAGCTTTGCCAGTCATGGTGTGGGAGGGGGGGGTGTTTGATCATATTTTACTACTGTATAAATGTGTTTATTATTATTATTAATGAATGTGTTGTTAAGACCAAAAATGGACGATTTCTCCACAAATCTGGATGCCGCCTAATGTGGTTGGTTGTAATTACCGGCGAAACGTCACGGTACTTGAATTGTAAATGTTGTGGGTTCACACCCAGGACCAGTTGGGAGATCACTAATGTCCATCGTGGGTGGAAATTGGACTCATATTGCCGGGTTCATGTGTGCTAACTAATCAACCACTTCTCAATCGCAGATTTCACTCTGTAATATAACAAATAAATAAATAAAGATACAAGAGTCTGGTTCACCATGTAAAATTAAATAAAAAAAATTGGCCAATTTGGTTAGTGACTTTCCATTTTACAGAAGCACTTTCACAAACAGGCACACTTGGCTATTTCTGACCTGTTGATTCCCAGAACCAGAGTTGTAACCTGGTAATTAATGGCGGAGCCAGGATTTTCAGGTAGGGGGGGCAACCCCTCCAGCAATGAAAAATGATAGGCGTTGTTAGTAAGTAAGTCCCTTGCTTTTTATTCGACGCGTGTGTGGCGATTGCGCAGCCATCGATCGAGGGTCGAATTCGAACCGTGTGTGATCGGCATCGCGCTCGCTGAAGGTGTTTGCCTTCAGGGAAGTCGTGTACTGTATACGCAACTGCGCACAATTCTGAGTCACTTATAACTTCTTTGCCGTTACTTATTGCCAATTATGGACTCAGACTATTATCGTATCATCTCATAGAGTCCCTGGCACGTAATAACATGCTACACAGTAACAGTGGGGGTCGCAAAATGCCGATTTATTACTAATAAACCCCAATAGTCCGTCAAAATTAGGGATTTCGATCGGATCATTGGGGGGGCACGTGCCACCCCACCCCTCCACTGGCTCTGCTGGTATTTAAATGTTGCTTGGTTGAAAAAGTTATTGAAGGCAGGAACAGTAGGTAGGTCAGCCTGGACAGACACAGTCCACTGCATCTAATGAATGGATCTAGCCAATGGTCTCCTGCCATTGAGCGTGTTCCACTCGCTCTCTATACGCTCATTCCGAACCCTGTCTGGCATCGCATGCTCTGGTAATGTCATCAGTACCATGGTGTTTTGTGAACAATCCTTTAAAGGAGGATACAACTCGTAAAAAATACTAAAATTAAACAGGTTTTGTAGATACTTACCAAGGCTGCGTGTACCAGTTTGTGACATACATTTTTTAAGCCGTGTTATTGAGAACAAAATACTTTCGAATCACAATCAGGCACTTGGAATTGTTGGAGCGATCTACAACAAGGAGTTCTCGATACATTGCTTATATATCTCTATGAGCTCCTTATATATAAATATTCCAGTTGGGAATCATTTCTGGGCTGGGCATGTTATAATTTGCAAGTATTTTTGTTGTTTTACGAATGATCGTTTTCTGAATTAATTTGTATTTAAGATTTTTGTTCTGTTAATTGGAATTCAGCCTGGTGTCACTGGAAAAGCGCTTGACTCGCAATCATAGCATTGCGAGTTCAGATCTCTTATCAATTGTTGGCTAAGCCAGTCAATAGCTACCACTTCAAACCAACAACAGTTGTCCTATGGAGAGGCTGGTTCCTTCCGATTGTCACTTCACTGAAGAATGTAATGCTGATAATTGTTTTTTTACCCTTTTATCTGGCAACAAAACTGACACCTTTTTTTACAAGGAGTCATGTTTGCATTGACCACAATACCTGCGGTCGGAATGCAAAAAAAACACAACTCTCATAATGTATGCACTGTCCTTGAAATTGATTGGTCGACACCCGAGACAGATTTTCTTAGAGCCTAGTCTCACATGGTGTTGGACCAGATGACGCCAAAAGGCGCAGAAAAGGTGTCAGTTTTGTCACTAGATTAAAGGGTAAAAAACCAATTATCATATTTAGCTACTGGCAAAGAAGGTTCCAATAATGTAATGCTGGTTCGATGTATGCGCTATCTTGATCACGGTACAAGCTGCCTCTCCTGTCTGTCCCTTGTCTGTGTACGGCCCCTTCTTGCCCATACAGACATCAAGGCCCTGTTCGTGAACCCGGTGCTTTGTGACCGCGTCATCGCTATGCTCAATCACTTCCTGCAGCACCTCGCCGGCCCGCGCATGGGTGCCCTGAAGGTCAAGGACTTCAGCGAGTTTGACTTCCGGCCGCACCAGCTGGTCTCCGACATCTGCACCATCTACCTGAACCTGGGGTCAGTGGCACTTTCGCGGCTATATGGTGGCAGGCCAATGATTAACCCACCCTGTTCGCCTACAAATGCTCGTGAATTAGTTTGTGAAAAATATCTCAACCCCGTTCGTAAGGCGTTTTGTCACCAGAGCTCTAGTTTGTGACATAGGTCCGTTAAGATTAACAATGAATTGGCCCTTTATTGTCTATAATCGATCATTCATATTTACTGTTGTCCTGTAGAAACTTGGCTTTAAGGAATTCCTTATGTCTCAGGCACAGAATGTGGTGTCTTTGTTGAGTCAAGATTCATATGAATATTTACTTCATTAACCAATGTTTAATTGTAATGATCTTGTTTGAAAAATGTATCTTGTTTGCGACATTGATTTATAAGGATTGATCTCATTTACAACTAAACTAAACTATAAACTAAATTATTTTGTATTTTATCAGGTTAGGCCCACTTAGCTATATAGATATTTTTCAGAAGTGACCTGGTCACAAATGACAGCTCAAAGAAGTGGCTTATCACGTGGAAATTTATAGCAGCCAAATACTCTAAACTCATGTTGATTCTAAATGTGGAGGGAAAAACCGGAGGACCTGGAGAAAAATCCACGCGACCAATGGGAGAACAGGCAAACTCCAAATATACAGACGTCGGGGTCGGGATCGAACCCACGACCTCCTGCATACCCGGCGGAGAGTTAACATCTCGCCACCTTTGTCGAGCCATCAAAGGGAAAGAATACTTTTTGGCTCACTGATTTTATATTTGAAATCTTATTCTCTCTGAAGAAGTGTAACAGGACCTCAGTTTCATGTCTTGTTTGAGACAATCTCAGGGCCTCAGTTTCATGTCTTGTTTGAGACAATCTCAGGGCCTCAGTTTCATGTCTTGTCTGAGTTAATCTGCTCTGACAGCAACAGTGGACCCGAGCACCATGCTCGCACGTGAAATGTGTGAATGCCCAGCGACAGGGCACCCAGTGTACCCTGCCCTACATATTGCACAATAATACAGTACAATTTGAATACTATACAATTGGGCTGAAATGAATGCAAATGCACATTGAGGTGCTGTACAGTTGGGGATTTGTATCTCTTGCAAGAAAGAGAAACAGAGGAGTTGAGGTTGTTTTTAATGGTGTTGGAAGGATTATGAGACTGAGAGGGCAAGAAGATACTTCATAGAGAAACAGGTCAGTCGTGGGCAGAGGAGAAGAGAGATGTCTTGACCATAAATGGAAGGGGTGTCAGCAGTTGTGGATGGCCAGAGAGGAGTGAACTCTAGACATTGGGGGCAGCGGTGAATATGTATCGTTTGTGTTCGCTTGTGACATTCGCAGTGAGAAGGAAGCGTTCTGTGCGGCCGTGCCGAGGGATGGGCGCTCCTACTCGCCCACGCTGTTTGCGCAGACGGTGCGCGTGCTCACCCGCATCAACAAGCCTAGCGACATGATCACCGCGTTCGTTAACCTCGCCGACAAGGTCAAGGTACGGTGGGGCCTATATAGGCTTTGCAGTTATTATGGCAACGCAACGGAGAGTCCTCGAATGCCTGCCTCACAGTTGGCTTTGGAGAAATTATTGTTCGTTTATTTTGGAAAAAAATTTTTTCTCTCGTCGATTTGTATTATCGTCTTATTGCTGGAGTTTCTCACCGAGTTATTTTTAACTGTACTTTATTTGCACCCCACATTCTCCCCCGCAAAAATTAGACTTTTGTCTTCGTGGGTTCTCGCCTGGTTTTAAATGCAGCTCTAGGTAACGATGATATCAATGACGAGCGGAATCATACTTGGACATTTAAAAATATCGATTTAAAGCTTTCGTGACTGCAGGGATTCATCTTCTTGGTTCTCTTGGTAAAGTCACGTAGAAGGGAAATAATAAAATAATAAAAATAAACGTAATAAAATACAATTCTCACGACGTTTTGGCCACAACGCAAGCAGCCGTCCTCTTCACCTGAGGACGGCTGCTTGCGTTGTGGCCGAAACGTCGGAGGACGGCTGCTTGCGTTGTGGCAGAAACGTCGTGAGAATTGTATTTTATTATGTTTATTTTTATTATTTCATTATTTCCCTTCTATGTGACTTTACCGAAAGAACCAAGAAGATTTAAAAATATATTTGAGACGGTACTACTTGTGAGCCCATGAAGGCATTGTAAGACATCAGAAGAATCGCACAGTGAACAAGATGCTTAAACCTGCTGGTGTTATAAGTTAAAGTGCAGTTTTGTAGTTTTATTGAGCAGTTCTGTGTCTCGCCCCGTTGTTTATTTTAATCCATATGTTGACTACATTGCCAAGCCACCTCTAAATGTCATTTACATTGTGGCGGAAAAAACCCAGTGTTCTATAAAACCGGCTGTTATCTCGTGCAATAAATTCCCACTACGATGGCCCATCCCCGGTGCTGTGCGAATGCATTGGCACTCTCATACTGGAAGTTAAGCATTGATGGGGAAAAACAATGATATGTATTGCTAAAGGCTGTGATGGGTATGGCTTCGTGAATCCAACAGAGTGCATGATATGTATGAGACTTCCCATATTCAGAGATGCAAGATGGCCAGTATATGGTAGTGCAATAAACAGGTTACTTATCTGGAGGGATTTTTGGTTTTTGCTAAACAGCGATTGTCCAATAGCGTTTCATATTCATCGTAAATTGGTGTTCAATGTGTATTGTCGGGTTGTGTTTAAAGTCAGATACCAGGTAATGTTTTCTGTTGGATACAAGTTGACTGATAGTGTTAAGTATTGTTTGTCTGATGGTTTATAATGACAGTCATCAGGTGTTATGTGACATTGGTCACCAGGTAGTGTTAAATATTTGACGTCAGGTGGTGTTTGTCTCGTTGGAAATGGTATGAACAAGAAACATTTTTGAGCAAAGAAGTGTTACAAATAATCGGATCCCAAAGACTGCTTCTGGGTTGAGTGAGCCAGGAGGGAAGTAGCATGATGTGGACACGTAGAAGAAGGCTCACAGGCTACCCTCCTGCTGCTCCTCCTCCTTGGGTAAATAGGACACTGAACGGCAAGAAGAAATCAAAAGATGAACAATTGTAGGGAGTTGGACCCATTTCAGCCGGGTAAACTGTGCTGAGAGGAATCGCAAGCTCTTCACATACTCTTTGGGTCTTTCGGTAAAGCCACGTACTGTAGATAGCAACGCAAGCAATCGTCTTCTTCACGTAAGTTAACCATCGACCTCTCAAACCAGGGCTGTGTAGTCGGTGCTGCCCGATTGCCCTTGCTGAGGCAGAGGTCGCAACCAGGTACCCGATACCCGTACCCTACCCAATACCCGGCTACCCGTACCCGGCCGGGTACGGGTACCCGTTTGCGACCCTGGTGCGGCCGGGTACGGGTAGGCCGTTAGTCACTGGTGAGTAACCGTTTGTCACTCATTTCGGGTAGGGTACAGGTACGGGTAGGATACGGCTACCTGTACCCGGCCGGGTATGGGTACCCATTTGCGACCCTGGTGCGGCCGGGTACGGGTACGGGTAAGGAATCAAAACCCGTTTGCGACCTCTGAGCTGAGGACAACCCTGTGCCCGCGCGCAGTCTCTGGCCGACCAGCACCAGCAGGAGGAGGAGACGTACGCAGACGCGCCCGACGAATTCCTGGACCCCATCATGAGCACGCTGATGCAGGACCCCGTCGTGCTGCCGTCATCGCGAGTTACCCTGGATCGTTGCACCATCGCACGGCACCTGCTCAGGTGCGCGGGTCCTGCACACAACGCAAACCCTCTGCCTGTGTCGGAGGCTCGTGGTTATGCTTTGACCTTGATGTCCCACATTGCACGGTGTGCGTGACGGTTATTATGTTTGTGTTATACGTGAACTAGTCCACCAAGTTAAACTATGACCTCTGGCATGAAGCGATTTTTTTTGGAGATCTAAGCTATGGAACTCCTGAAGGACTCTTTGTGTTTTCATTGGGAATTATGCTGAAATACTTATTTTCTATTTTGTTTTCTCATTTGGTAAATATTGCAGTTTACCACTGTAGTTTCCATCTTGTTAGTGCAAGTCTTAACCTCTTTATACTTTTGGATTGTATATAGCCCTGTAATAAAATGTTATAGCCTTTGTCAAACCATTGCCTGTTGAAGACCTCTTCACAGCCAACACAGCATGGGAATGCCGTCATCGGGCAGATGGCTAGTGCAGCCTGGTTAGCGAGTGTGGGCTAGTTAGTGTGTGGCTAGTCAGTGTGGGTTAGTTAGTGCGGGCTAGCTAGTGCGGGCTAGCTAGTGCGGGCTAGTTAGTGCGGGGTGGTTAGTGTGGGCTGGTTAGTGTGGGCTAGTTAGTGTGTGGCTAGTCAGTGTGGGTTAGTTAGTGTGGGCTAGTTAGTGTGGGCTAGCTAGTGCGGGCTAGCTAGTGCGGGCTAGTTAGTGCGGGCTAGTTAGTGTGGGCTAGTTAGTGTGGGCTGGTTAGTGTGGGCTAGCTAGTGTGGGCTGGTTAGTGTGGGCTAGTTAGTGTGGGCTAGCTAGTGTGGGCTAGTTAGTGTGGGCTAGTCAGTGCGGGCTAGTCAGTGCGGGCTAGTTAGTGTGGGCTAGTTAGTGTGGGCTAGTTAGTGTGGGTTAGTTCGTGCGGGCTAGCTAGTGCGGGCTAGCTAGTGCGGGCTAGTTAGTGCGGGGTAGTTAGTGTGGGCTAGTTAGTGTGGGCTAGTTAGTGTGGGCTAGTCAGTGTGGGCTAGTTAGTGTGGGCTAGTTAGTGTGGACTAGTTAGTGTGGGCTAGTTAGTGTGGGCTAGTCAGTGTGGGCTAGTCAGTGTGGGCTAGTTAGTGTGGGCTAGTTAGTGTGGGTTAGTTAGTGCGGGCTAGTTAGTGTGGGCTAGTTAGTGTGGGCTGGTTAGTGTGGGTTAGTTAGTGTGGACTAGTTAGTGTGGACTAGTTAGTGTGGGCTAGTTAGTGTGGGCTAGTCAGTGTGGGCTAGTTAGTGTGGGCTAGTTAGTGTGGGCTAGTTAGTGTGGACTAGTTAGTGTGGGCTAGTTAGTGTGGGCTAGTCAGTGTGGGCTAGTCAGTGTGGGCTAGTTAGTGTGGGCTAGTTAGTGTGGGTTAGTTAGTGCGGGCTAGTTAGTGTGGGCTAGTTAGTGTGGGCTGGTTAGTGTGGGTTAGTTAGTGCGGGCTAGCTAGTGCGGGCTAGCTAGTGCGGGCTAGTTAGTGCGGGGTAGTTAGTGTGGGCTAGTTAGTGTGGGCTAGTTAGTGTGGGCTAGTTAGTGTGGGCTAGTTAGTGCGGGCTAGTTAGTGTGGGCTAGTTAGTGCGGGCTAGCTAGTGCGGGCTAGCTAGTGCGGGCTAGTTAGTGCGGGGTAGTTAGTGTGGGCTGGTTAGTGTGGGCTAGTTAGTGTGGGCTAGTTGGTGTGGGCTAGTTAGTGTGGGCTAGTTAGTGTGGGCTAGTTAGTGCGGGCTGGTTAGTGTGGGCTGGTTAGTGTGGGCTGGTTAGTGTGGGCTAGTTAGTGCGGGCTAGTTAGTATGGGTACTTAGTGTGGGTAGTTAGTGTGGGCTAGTTAGTGTGGCTAGTTAGTGTGGCTAGTTAGTGTGGGTACTTAGTGTGGGTAGTGTGTGTGGGCTAGTTAGTGTGGCTAGTTAGTGTGGGTACTTAGTGTGGGTAGTTAGTGTGGGCTAGTTAGTGTGGGCTAGTTAGTGTGGGCTGGTTAGTGTGGGCTGGTTAGTGTGGGCTAGTTAGTGTGGGCTAGTTAGTGTGGGCTAGCTAGTGCGGGGTAGTTAGTGTGGGCTGGTTAGTGTGGGCTAGCTAGTGCGGGCTAGTTAGTGTGGGTAGTGTGTGTGGGTACTTAGTGTGGGTAGTGTGTGTGGGTACTTAGTGTGGGTAGTTAGTGTGGGCTAGTTAGTGTGGCTAGTTAGTGTGGGCTAGTTAGTGTGGGCTAGTTAGTGTGGGCTAGTTAGTGCAGCCTGGCTAGTGTGGGCTAGCTAGTGCGGGGTAGTTAGTGCGGGCTAGTTAGTGCGGGCTAGTTAGTGCAGCCTGGCTCGTGCGGCTAGCTAGTGTGGGCTAGCTAGTGCAGGCTAGTTAGTGCAGCCTGACTAGTATGGGCTGGCTAGTGTGGGATATTGATTACTTTTTACTTACCATCTAAGTGGCTAAGCAGGGTTATACTTATAATAATACGAAAATTATGCTCTTTATTTAGCCCCACTGGATGGTGATGCTTAGCTAACTCTGTTATCTAATATTTCACTTAGGGATGACTCATTGTGAAGGGCACTGTATTACCTTTATATTATTATTATTTTACATTCAACAAAACACTTTGGGTAAACATTCCTGAAATGAATATAATGTTACATGGCATCCTAAAAAGTGCACAGCATTGGCTGATTTTCAAGCATTTGTTATCAAGAGAACAGGAGAGCATGTGGGTCGGAACACAGGTTGGATCGCAGCTTTCACTTGAGAAGTTTTCCAAGGTCAACTTTGCGCAAATGTTGTATCATCGCCGCTACGGTTATGCCCAGTCTGCGGTCACCCTTCTTTGTTTAAAACTAAAGAACATAAGCCTCATTGCAACATCTGCTATCCTACAAGGCTTTTTTTAAGGTATGCTTTATTGCTCTTGCAGTGAAGCTGCAAAGGCACCGTGACTCGTTTTGTTGTATAGCATGCACTGTACAGGTGAACACCTCACATTTTTCAAGGTCAAAAACTCAGTTGCTCAATTAGACACCTGCAACCTATGCCAACTTTTGTTACAGCCACTGAACTTCATGTGATCTGGAAACAGCCATACTATGGAGTTCAAAATTAGCATTAAAGTAAATAAATGGCATTGCAAGCATTCTGGTGCCTTAAGGAGAGAAAACTGCAAATGCTTTTGGTTTTCTGGTTTTGCCTGGTTTTTTATCCCAGCATCCAGAGACGGCTGGATGCTAGGTTTTCCTGGCATGTTAATGTTTAATTAACCTTCTCTTAACCCTGGCCCTCCCATTCCACACCATCCCGCAGTGACCACACGGACCCATTCAATCGCAGCCCCCTGACTATGGAGCAAGTGAAACCCGACACGGAGCTCCGGGACCAGATTCAGGAGTGGCTGCAGCAGCGGAGGCAACAGCAGCAGCAGCAGCAGCAGCAGGAACAGCAGCAGCAGGAACAGCAGCAGCAGGAACAGCAGCAGCAGGAGGAACAGCAGCCAAGTGGGACCAGTTAACCCCCCCTCCTTACCCCTGCTGTGTATCCAATGTACATTTATAAAGCAAACCGGAATAAGCCAGACCGTGACTATAGCAAATATAACATTTACCAAGTGTGACTTAGCAACTAACCACGATACTGCTTGACCTACAATGTGAAGCTTTATCAGCAGGGGTGACCCATTCAACCCATAGCTTGAGTGTCAATGTAATTTAACAGAACACCGTACCAGGGCAGCCTTTTAGTTTCCTCGACAGAATGCTCGGCGCTCGCATCGGCTTTATTCCACATCACGGGTTGAAGAATTTAGAAGCAGCACCTTCCTTGGCTAACGCTGACCGCGAGGTTATGTAACGCAACACATCACCTTGCATTGCAGACAACTGCCCCTCTTTGCAATTGTGTTAAAAACAAAGCCGTTTTAACGAGTTCAGAATATTAAATAACGGGGGTGTAAATAGCAATATATGACACGAGGCATTTATCAATAATAATTAATTGCTAACACGGGTGGATTGGTGGCTTGGACCCAGCGATCCGATTCCTGGACATGACTAACATATTTGGTGAGTGATATGTGAACCGGTCCCGACTTAACTTTTCACCTTCCCTCATCATCCGCATTGACCAGCGTCGTGCAGCATTGCCAAGCAATCCCCCATGATCGACGGAGTACGGGAGTGCTTTCACCCAGCAATGAATTGAGTAAGAGCTGTAAATTATTATCATTAAATGTATTTGCTAAAACATTTGATTTTATTAAAAATTCTATGTAACATATTTAAATGGCTATACGTTTAAGTTCCTGAAGCTAGCTTTACACACGCCTTGCTGCAAGTGCAACATGGAAAGTTTATTGTCTTCTAAAGTGTAATCTAATGCGGCGTACAATTGGAATAGTGAATCAGCATCGAGCCAAGTAAAAATTTTCCACTTATACTGCATGTCACCGTGTAGAAGCTTTTGAGCGTGTAAATCTGCAAAATCAACACTGAACACATGCCGGCTATATCCGTAGGTGATCGTCTGCTTTATATTGAGGCACCGTGTGTGACGGCGCCGCTCAATACATTTTTGCTCAAACTTTTACAAGTCTGTTGAAATTTCATCGCGAGGGCTTTTAACGGGCTGGATGAAGCATTGCCAGTGTAACGCAAGTGATCCAGAAGTTAATGAGTCTCGTCGATGTGGGAAATAATCCTGATTTGTAAAGTAGCAACACGCAACAAAAAGTATGGAGTAACTTTGAAAACGACCTTGCATACAGCAGGGCTACAAGCACGTTAAAATATCTGGAATAGAGACTCGCATTGTTTTCCTTGCTTTGTGTTTGATTCTCCTCCACAAGTTGATTTTATTCAGCAAAAGTGCCGTTATTCATATTTCTCATTTAAAAACACAGCGGCCTCTTCAGTCTTGCTTTGGACTGTAGTAATAATTTTTTAATGGTAAACATGTTTTCGGGTAGTTTGTTGTTGGAAAGCACCAGCATACCAATAGATGCCTACATAAATGCACCCCAACTTTTTTTTCTTTCCCCCCATGACCTTTTTTATTTGGTTTCTTTGCTACTGTTTGACACAGTCACGAGGCTTTTGCAACTTTTGACAGCTCCCATATCTGTGTTTGTTCTTCTAAATAAATATTAATAAATTCCACAATAGCTGATTATTATTCAAGACATTCAGAAATCTACATTTATTTATTTTTACATTTCAACGATGTGTTGTCACTCTATTGCCTCTGTCTTAGTAGGTGTAGTACACACGATTCCGCTTAGACACGAGTGCGTGTGGGTCCTTGGCTTAATTGGACTGCGAAGGCAACTTCTGCCGGTGAGCGCGCGTCATGGTTGGAGTGTGGAATATGCGGGAGTGGGAAGCCAACGTAGAATGTGAAGGAACTCGCAAGTGACTCTTCGCACAAACTTAAAACTCATTTGTTTAGAACTGCATTTTGTGTTTAGTTGTCCTTCCCCCGCACCTGCGATTAGCACTACTACGTACGGTGCAAAAGGAGTTCATACGTAGACTCGCACAGAGACACATCGGCTCACATAGACACAGACTCACTCATTTCTTTAGAGCTGCTTTTTGTGTTTAGTTGTGCAAAAGAGGTTCAACATGCATACAAACTGCTTGCTTTTGAGGGCTGAGCGTTAGTGGTGAGTTGTGCGCTGGGGCAAAGTGGAATTTGGTATCTGTACCCAGTACAGGTCCCACTAGATTGGAATGCAGTTAATTGCGGTTGTTGGACTGAGTTTCATGAGCACGCCACATTTAGCATTGCATTTATAAGGCCCTATTCATATTAGACTCGCTGATGTTCACTTTTGTATTTATTTTACTATGTGAATGTAACCCGAGTTTGTTAGAAGTAGGACTTTATATTTGTCGAATTTTTATTTGTTGCCATTCACTAGACTAATTTTTATATATTTGTGTTTGAGTAAATAATGGACTGTCTAATTCGGATAGAGCGGCCGTGAATGTTGCAGATCCTGATTTGAATTTTCTTGAATTAATTTTATTTCCGTTCTTAGTTTATTAATGTGGCTGCTTTAAAACATCGGAATAAATATCAACTCTCACCTTCATTTGCATGGTCTTAGGAGTCCATAATGTACATAATTTATACTAGAACATTGTACATACCATACATGTGTGTGATTTGTGTTTGCACACATGAATATTTCTCCATTGTATTTTTCATTTTACTCCTAGAAAACTATTAGAGGACAATATTGGTATAGACTAAATGGAAGTGGACATGCGTGTAATTGACTGCACATTGATCTGTTGTAGAGTAGATTGTTGTGTAATGCTAAGAATTTAAGAGGAATGTTTATGTATATAAGTATATTGAATATGGTATTGGAAGAAAAATGCTTCTAATGATAATTAAACATTGTCATTTATTTCCTGATCATATGCTGCGAACACACATTCACTCGCACAAGCGCATGCACCTCGCATTTTACTGTCAAGAGCTCATTGCCACACACTCATAATAGTAATAATCTGAATCTAATTTCAAAGATTGAGGCGTCTGCTGGTTTGTCCACATTGATATGGGTGCGGTGCACTGGAGTTTGATACAAAATATGCTGCGCCGATGTGGTGTGCCGTGGATTATGGGAGGAATTGGCCGTGCGATTCCATTGATCTGCGATTGTAGAGGAAGAGTGGCACGTGATTAGCTGCTGAATGCACGATACATTTGCAGATTCCAATGTTTTTCAAAGACCAAAATGGTGCAAAACTGTTTTTTGCGTCTATTTTAAAGTTTTTTTTTTTCATTTTGAGATTTTTAAAAAGCGAAAATCTCTTTTAATCCGGACTCAACAAGTCACATCAGAACACCTAATCTTACGTGGTGTTAATAAAAAAACATTCTTTGCAAAAAAATAGCTTTTTTCCATTCACTCGTTGTCCTTGCCTACTTCGACAGCTTATGACTTTTCGGCCCGTGAAGGTTTTTCAATCTGCCGCTGGTGAAGGGGAGCAGTGGCAAACCACCAATACAGTAGTCCACAAATGATTACCATTCGTGGGTTATTGGGATGCAAATTATTGTACTTCTGCTGTAATTTGACACTTCCGAAAGCACGGCTAAACATCGGTGTTTTTAAATGCTTCTTGAAACTTGTCAGAGCTGCGTTGGACCGTCCACTCATAGGCGGTAGCCCCCAGCCGAGTGCGTTCCAGACGGCTGGCGCGGACGCGGGGAGCACAGCACTGAGCTGTGACGGTGTCCAGTGGCGTCAAATCCATGGTTGACACGTGCTGAATACGCACCACTTTATCCGCATGTTTAATAATGGAAATGTTGGGATAACCAGAATGAATACAAGTCTCATTTATCTGTTCCATATACATACACGTGCAAGTTAATATTCCTATTTCGTTTTTAACTTACGGAAGTGATGTCATTTGCTTCCCGTTTTTGTGCACATTCAAGATTTAGAATCATTGCAAACAGGACCACATTTTTTGCAGCTTAGTATAAAAGATGTAGTTTTTCTAATCATGAAGCACTTTGGGGTTTTGTTCTCGCTTTAAGATTTGCATGGGTTTTAATTGAGGGTCGATTATCTGGAAGAGCAGGTTGAGATGCTGATGTGTTTGTATTGAGTGTAATTACAACTGGAAGTGCAAATGATTGCTGTAATAAAGCTGTCGATGGACTCAGACGCAGTCGTGTTTTTGAATTTGCATATCCCAGGTGTGGGAGACGCATAATAACAATACTGCAAGTGATAATTGTTTTTTTACCCTTCTATGTGGCGACAACACTGACACTTTTTTTTTTACAAGGAGTCATGTTTGCATAGACCACAATACCTGCAGTCATAATGCAAACAAAAGAACATAACTCTGATAATGTGCACTGTCCTTGAAGTTGATTGGTCCACACCCGAGACAGCTTTCCTTCGAGCCTAGTCTCATATGGGTTGGACCAGATGACGCCAAAAGGCGCACAACTCAAGGACAATGCACCATCAGAGTATGAGAGCTCGGGGCAAGCATCTACACTATGGGGACCTCATTTGCCAGTAAAAATATGATAATTGGTTCTTTACCCTTCTATCTGGCAACAAAACTGACACCTTTTTGCAAGGAGTCATGTTTGCATAGACCGCAATACCTGCAGTCATAATACAAACAAAAGAACATAACTCTGATAATGTGCACTGTCCTTGAAGTTGATTGGTCCACACCCGAGACAGCTTTCCTTCGAGCCTAGTCTCATATGGGTTGGACCAGATGACGCCAAAAGGCGCACAACTCAAGGACAATGCACCATCAGAGTATGAGAGCTCGGGGCAAGCATCTACACTATGGGGACCTCATTTGCCAGTAAAAATATGATAATTGGTTCTTTACCCTTCTATCTGGCAACAAAACTGACACCTTTTTGCAAGGAGTCATGTTTGCATAGACCGCAATACCTGCAGTCATAATACAAACAAAAGAACATAACTCTGATAATGTGCACTGTCCTTGAAGTTGATTGGTCCACACCCGAGACAGCTTTCCTTCGAGCCTAGTCTCATATGGGTTGGACCAGATGACGCCAAAAGGCGCACAACTCAAGGACAATGCACCATCAGAGTATGAGAGCTCGGGGCAAGCATCTACACTACGGGGACCTCATTTGCCAGTAAAAATATGATAATTGGTTCTTTACCCTTCTATCTGGCAACAAAACTGACACCTTTTTGCAAGGAGTCATGTTTGCATAGACCGCAATACCTGCAGTCATAATACAATCAAAAGAACATAACTCTGATAATGTGCACTGTCCTTGAAGTTGATTGGTCCACACCCGAGACAGCTTTCCTTCGAGCCTAGTCTCATATGGGTTGGACCAGATGACGCCAAAAGGCGCACAACTCAAGGACAATGCACCATCAGAGTATGAGAGCTCGGGGCAAGCATCTACACTATGGGGACCTCATTTGCCAGTAAAAATATGATAATTGGTTCTTTACCCTTCTATCTGGCAACAAAACTGACACCTTTTTGCAAGGAGTCATGTTTGCATAGACCGCAATACCTGCAGTCATAATACAAACAAAAGAACATAACTCTGATAATGTGCACTGTCCTTGAAGTTGATTGGTCCACACCCGAGACAGCTTTCCTTCGAGCCATATTTTTACTGGCAAATGAGGTCCCCATAGTGTAGATGCTTGCCCCGAGCTCTCATACTCTGATGGTGCATTGTCCTTGAGTTGTGCGCCTTTTGGCGTCATCTGGTCCAACCCATATGAGACTAGGCTCGAAGGAAAGCTGTCTCGGGTGTGGACCAATCAACTTCAAGGACAGTGCACATTATCAGAGTTATGTTCTTTTGTTTGTATTATGACTGCAGGTATTGCGGTCTATGCAAACATGACTCCTTGCAAAAAGGTGTCAGTTTTGTTGCCAGATAGAAGGGTAAAGAACCAATTATCATATTTTTACTGGCAAATGAGGTCCCCATAGTGTAGATGCTTGCCCCGAGCTCTCATACTCTGATGGTGCATTGTCCTTGAGTTGTGCGCCTTTTGGCGTCATCTGGTCCAACCCATATGAGACTAGGCTCGAAGGAAAGCTGTCTCGGGTGTGGACCAATCAACTTCAAGGACAGTGCACATTATCAGAGTTATGTTCTTTTGTTTGTATTATGACTGCAGGTATTGCGGTCTATGCAAACATGACTCCTTGCAAAAAGGTGTCAGTTTTGTTGCCAGATAGAAGGGTAAAGAACCAATTATCATATTTTTACTGGCAAATGAGGTCCCCATAGTGTAGATGCTTGCCCCGAGCTCTCATACTCTGATGGTGCATTGTCCTTGAGTTGTGCGCCTTTTGGCGTCATCTGGTCCAACCCATATGAGACTAGGCTCGAAGGAAAGCTGTCTCGGGTGTGGACCAATCAACTTCAAGGACAGTGCACATTATCAGAGTTATGTTCTTTTGTTTGTATTATGACTGCAGGTATTGCGGTCTATGCAAACATGACTCCTTGCAAAAAGGTGTCAGTTTTGTTGCCAGATAGAAGGGTAAAGAACCAATTATCATATTTTTACTGGCAAATGAGGTCCCCATAGAATGTATAACATGTTTTATCTCTAGCAGTGGCATAGCTATTGAGTGTGCAGGTGGTGAGACGTTAACTCCCTGGCCTGGTATACAGGAGGTCGTGGGTTCGATCCACACCCAGACGCCTGCTGTATATTTGGGGTTTACGTGTTCTCCCCGTGGTCGTGTGGGTTTTTTCTCCGCCCCCCCCCCCCCCCCGGTGTTCCCCTCCACATTTAGAATCAACACGCATTTGGAGTATTTGGCTGCTATACATTTTCACTAAGTTGAGCTATCATTTGTGGCCAGGTCGCTTTTGAAAATAGTTACATAGCTCAGTGGATGACACTTGGTTAATAAAGAAAATAGCTTTTTAGTTAAGAGAGTATTCGGCACCAGGCTACGAAGAGGGTGGAAATTATACAGGGGGCCCAATTTAATTCCTTGCACCAGGGGTCCATGCCAATCACACTACTATGCTACTCATTCTAATCGTGGACCTGGTAAGAGTGAAAACACTGATTTGAAGCTTTCGTGACTGCAGGAATCCATACTCTTTGGTTCTTTCGGTAAAGTCACGTAGGTAGAAAAATAATAGATCACGACGTTTCGATCGCAACACAAGCGATCGTCACCAGGTGGGACAACCACAGCAAGAAAAAAACTGCTTCAAAGAGTCGTGAAAACACTCATTATTGACCTTATTATACAACAACAAAAACATGCGAAAAATCATGACACAAGAAGAGGTTTCATGTCTTTGTAGGTTCTTTATTTTGTTTTGGCTTTGCATTTTCGACAACACGGCTTTAATTTCAAACGTTATCACCCACCGCTGATCTTTAGAATTCCAATACATCACAGTCGCGTATCAATCACGAGGGAGATGTCCCTACATGCATAGTGAAGGCTGTGAAAGTGGTTGTTATTATGTCCGATGCTTTGTGATGAATATAAATATAGAAATGACGGGAGTTTGTAGTGCTGGTGATGTTCACAATGATGCTTAAGAATCGTATTGAAAGGGGGTGGTAAAAAGGCTTCGGTTTTGACCGATACCTATCTTTGTTTTGAATGACCGAACATGTGCATCAAATTGCATAAGTAGACTTCAACATACATTGGATGCATGTATAAGACATTTACTGCATTGCGGCCTTGCTGTGACTTGTCATGAGTGTGTGTATCTTCACTTAAATAAGTCGAAAACTACCTTGGAATTTCACACAGTTGCGTTGATAACTCTGCAAGTTTGTATCCGATGTTCAATTTGGCTCGAGCGAGCAACCGGCTTCACTTTTTGACGATGCTGCTGGTGGTGGTGATGATGATAATGGCGGTGATCATGAAGGGCGATGCTTTTCAAAAGTTGGGAGGGATGGATTTAATGACGGGTTGTGAACATGATACGGGTGATGGTGATGATGAAGAGTTACACTTTATTTTTAAGGAAACAAACAAGAAGGCTTACACCGACCAAGCTGAACAGGGTTCCCAGGCCGATGACAACCACCTTCACTTGATTCATGGTCTCCGAATCTAACAACAACAAGAAGAAGAAAAAACAAACATGAGTGATATCGGTAGCTGACCACGTATTTTACGTATGTTAAACTTATTTCCCACCGTACGGAGCCAACCGTGCATAGTATAATAGTGGTGGAAGACTGTCACGGTTGAGGAGTGGCCATGTTTTGTTGGTGGTTCCACTACCATGTGAGAGCTAACAATGGGTAGGATTTGAAATATTTCAATAAGTGGACTGGAGTATGAGCAGCGATGCTGAACTAAATTTTAAAAAAAATTTATTTTACCAGGTAAAGCCCACTGAGCAGTACAGTATAGCTCTTTTTCAAGAAGCGACCTGGTCACAAATGATTGCTCAACGAAGTGGCTTATCATGTGGAAATTTATAGCAGCCAAATACTCTAAACGCGTGATGTTGATTCGGAGAAAAATCCACGTGACCACGGGGAGAGAGCACATGCAAACTCCAAATATACAGCAGGCGTCAGGGTCGGAATCGAACCTACAACCTCCTGTATACCAGGCGAGGTAGTTAACATCTCGCCACCGTGATGCAACGACCGATAAGGGTCTGGACAAGAAACGGCATGTCCACAGCTGTGAGACTGGGCCCGTTTCATGCGTTGGCTACGCAAACCTGGAAATAACAAGACGACCCCGTTGTCACAGAAAAATTAGTGCAGGACGGCATTCCCAGACGTTTCAAGCGACACGACAACGTGACAAAAAATATAGTCACTCGGCATTGCTGCATAATGCAAAAAACAATCGGCAGTTCCTGAAGAACTGCACCGCGGTCCTCTTGGTTGCCTCGCGTTTATTTTCACGTCATTTGTTTTTGCGTGAAAATGTGTCGATGTTTCCAACGCCGATAATTGGCAGGCGGGTTTGTTTGGCAAGGTGTGGACACGATGCGGTTTGTCTTTTGCGTTGGCTCACAATCTCAACATTGCTGCTGTGATCTGACGAAACGCTGAGCTGTGTTTTCCAAGCACAGACTGTCAGTTCAATTGATGCGAAGCGAAATACTTCAGATGTTTATATTAAGCTGATTGGTCTTGCACTAAGCCCATCTGGCCTGATTAGGGGCCGTCCATAAATTACGTCACGCGATTTTGGACGATTTTTGACCCCCCCCCCCCCCCCCTTTTCGTCACACGGGGTCACAAAAAGTATTTGGATCAAGCACGACTCACTCGGCCCCATGACCAAACCACCCTCTAGGCGCCAAATCTCTTCAGAACCCGTAGGTTAGGCATGGATTTTGAGCCTGGATTGTACTTGGGATGGGTGACCACCACGCCTGTGGCCACATTGTGGGCATTAGAGGGCAACGCAGCACAATCCATTGTATCGCAACTTCCATTCTCTCACATCTACACTCGCCGCCTTCACCATCCAGCGCTGACCGGCTTGGCGATGGCCAAAATAGGTCCCACCCGTGCCCTGCACGGCTTGATATGGCCCTCATCCAGCGGTGGATTGACAAAAGGCCTGCACATGTACGGTTCACCAGGGGCATACGGAGGCACGTCCACCCCACTCTCACACGCTGAAGGAGTGGGGGGGGGGGCGCCCGCCATTATGCTCCAATAGGGGGGCCCTGATGGTGAAGCCCGATCGAGATCAAGTTTCTAAACTAAAAACTAAAAAACTTTTATTTTCCACGTTCAGCCCACTGAGCTTCATAGCTCTTTTTCGGAAGCGACCTGGCCAACAAATGATAGCTCGACGAATTGGTCTATCACGTCGAAATCTCTCGAAGCAGTAGCAGCATCAGCAGCCCAAATAATCTAAACGCACGCTTGGACGGCGGCGGTGACGACGGCGCGCAAGTGCGTCGACGGAGGAGGAACGAGGCCACGAGGTGGCCCACGGTGCGAGATGTTGCGAGATGCACGTAGCGCCGCATGCACCACCACCACTCACCTTCGCCGGTCACCTGCAGGTGCACGGCATCGCTCGTCTCCACGCTCACGTTGTTCTGCACCAGGCACTGGAACTCCCCGGCGTCGCCCATCCACACGGAATCGAGCTCCAGGGCGTCCCCGACACTGGACAGCGTGTAGCGTCTGTCACTGTCCACTGGCACGGGCCAACCCTTCCAGAGCCACACGTACCTGTGGGGCAGGGGCAGCGCCGATCAGTCCGGGCATATTTGAAGCTTTTAAAAAGAAAAAAAACATATAGGGGCCCCTTTTAACACGTAGGCTTTCACGACCAATATTATTGTAAATGTTGTGGTTTCACGCTTCAACACATCGGTGGGCTAAAGCAGTGAACTATTTGTCTTTTGTCAACGTGACACTTTTTTTGCTGATTGGCCGTGTCGGGTGGTGGAGGGTTACGACTCATTTATAAATAACGCGATCTAAACCCAAAAACTTTGATTATGAATATAGGGGACCGACATTAATATGTCAAATTAAATAAAAACTACATTTTGACTTAAAACTTTCGTGACTGCAGGGATTCATCTTCTTGGTTCTTTCGGTAAAGTCACGTAGAAGGGAAATAATAAAATAATAAAAATAAAACATAATAAAATAATTCTCACAACGTTTCTGCCACAACGCAAGCTGTTTGCCCGACAGACCTGGTCTTCACCTGAGGACGGCTGCTTGTGTTGTGGCCGAAACGTCGTGAGAATTATTTTATTATGTTTTATTATTTTATTATTTCCCTTCTACGTGACTTTCAAACCTGCTTAGCTTCACAGTCACGAACAAATCTGGAGCATTTCAGGTGACTTGGGTCACTGACCTCAACGAATCTCCACTATTTACCCAGGAGGAGAAAGAGGGTGTCGCTGAACATACACGGATTATCGTAATGGAATTTCAAGAAAAAAACTTTTTTATTTTATCAGGTAAAGCCCACTGAGCTGTATTGCTCTTTTTCAGAAGCGACCTGGCCACAAATTATAGCTCAACGAAGTGGCCTATTACGTGGACATTTATAGCATCCAAATACTCTCAACGCATGTTTCTAAATGAAGGAAAAAAAACCGGACAATCTGGAGAAAAAAGCCACGTGAGAAAGACATGCAAATTCCAAATATACAGCAGCAGGCGTCAGGGTCGGGATCGAACCCACGACCTTCCGTATACCAGGCGAGGTAGTTAAGTTACACACGGAACCACCAAGTTGCAAACAGTCCTGGGTAGGGCACGGCCCCTTTGTGTTCACCCCGTGGACTTTTACAAATTTCCTTCCCTTCATTTGAGATCTCCCTCTTCTTGCACGCGCGGTTAAGCGAAGCCCCGGCACGAGTCGCTGACGTATTCCTGCCAGTGCCGGATGAAGCTAGTGCGGGGCCTGTAGCTTATGTTAAAAAGGGGCCGTAAATAAATAAACACGTAAATATTAAAACACGTAAATGTTTTACTTGCCTAGTAAAGTCATTGTCTTCTTGGTTCTTTCGGTAAAGCAGCCGTCCACAGGTGAAAACCAGGTCCGTCGAGGCGACAGAGTCTGTCGCCTCGACGGACCTGGTTTTCACCTGAGGACGGCTGCTTGCGTTGTGGCCGAAACGTCGTGAAAATAATTTTATTATGTTTTATTTTTATTATTTTATTACTTCCCTTCTACGTGACTTTACCGAAAGAACCAAGAAGATGAATTCCTGCAGTCACGAAAGCTTTAAATCGAAATTTAAAGTAATTGTGTTTTTTCATTTGCTATACAGCCAGATAATACGACAAATCGCTAACCTTAAGCACCCAGTCGTTCAAAAAAGTTGAAGGCGGTATAGTACTATAGTAATAGAGCAAGTGCAGAATCACTGAACCAGAATTGATAGCTTGAAAGCATTAAGCGCGGGGCCCTTGAAAGTGCGGGGCCCCGTAGCATTTGTAGCTACTTTTGCTACGAGGATAATCCGGCACTGATTCCTGCATTACTTGCCACCAGTGTTCCTTGAGTTGGTGCCATGATTTGAATGTTGATTTGAAGTTTTCGTGACTGCAGGGATCCATGTTCTTTGGTTCTTTCGGTAAAGTCACGTAGGTATAAAACAAAATAAATTAAATTTTGATTTAAAATTTAATTTTGATTTAATTTATTTTGTTGTATATCTATGTGACTTTACCGCAAGAATCAAAGAGTACGATTTGAATGTTGTTTGCTACTCAAGTGTCTGCAGGGTTACGACTTATATGGCACCGCCGCTGCCGCCGCGGCTGGAACCTCATTATTATTCCCCCAAGGTTCTACCACGTGGGTCATTCTTGTAAAAAAGAAACACATTTGAATGTGTCTCTCATCATACAGGTTTTTGGGTTAGATCGCATAAGTTTGAATGTGTCGTAACCCTCCACCACCCGACACAGCCAATTAGTAAGGGATTTGTCACGTAATAGTTACTACTTCAGCCCACCGGTGTGTTGGGAGAGCAAATCCACAACGTGTAAAAAAGAAACACATTTGAATGTGTCTCTCATCATACAGGTTTTTGGGTTAGATCGCATAAGTTTGAATGTGTCGTAACCCTCCACCACCCGACACAGCCAATTAGCAAGGGATTTGTCACGTAATAGTTACTACTTCAGCCCACCGGTGTGTTGGGAGAGCAAATCCACAACGTTTACAATTTGAGTAGTACGACGTTTCGCTGGTGATTACATCAACCGGCATCATCGGGCGATTGGCCATGATAGTGAAGCAATCCACCTGCTTCTGCTCTTAACTAGAGCAGCAGGACGATTGTCATCACCTGTCGGGTGGTGGAGGGTCACGACACATTTACGCTTACGCGATCCAACCTTGATTAGGACCTTTATTAGGAATAATATCGGTCGCGAAAGCCGCGTTAAACTGAACGTGTTTTACCCGTGCGGGGGAAAAAAAATTCTATCAATCGATCGATCGGATGTTGCTGTAAACCGTCGCGTAGGCGTCAGTGGTGAATGGCAGCACACGCACCAGCACTCCTTAATGGCCTTGTGGTTACACTTCATCCTCACCGAGCCGCTCCGCTCCAGGATCTTAGTCTTGTCCATGTCCAGCCACGGCTTGCTCACGGGCTCTGTAGGGCGGCGGAAAAACAATTAAACAACTTCCGGTGGCCGGTTGCATGAGATGCCCTCATGACTCGGTGGTTCTCGACCATTTTGGTGTGGTGCCCTGTGCTAGTAAGGCATTGGTTTCATATTCTTAGGTTCCTGGCCCTGCCCCCCTCAACCATTATATATACGGAGTGGTATCTCCTGTAATCCCTCATTTACTTGATACAGCTGTCGGGCTGTGACGGTTCCACCTGAAGACGGAAGCTTGTGTTGCCTCCGAAACGTCATGATTTTTATTTTTATTTTACTTTTATTAATTTTAATTTTTTACCTACGTGACTTTACCGAAAAAACCTATATGAATCCTTGCAGTCACGAAAGCTTCAAATCTAGAATCATTGGTTTCATGTTGGTGTGTCTTGTCGCCGCAATGTTTCAGTGACATTTTCCCGCACACATTTGAAAAATTTCCTTCCCCGGCATTAATGCCGCAGCCTCCGCCCCTCTTCCCTCCGTCGCCTGAAGTGAATTTCCCCTTAGTTCACACCGATTTACTTTGCAAACTTAGGGAAAATGTTGCTCGAGTTATTTTACGCACTTCACCCCTGGCAATAAAGTAAATTATTTATGTGCCGGTCATTCATATCGGTGAATAAGCTACAAGGACGATGATAACAGAACAGCTTTATCAATGTAATTAATTAATGTACAGCCCCTTGTCGATGTCGGACATGTGCAGTTGTTTGACCATACTTCACCAAGCTGGTAAGTGCGGGTTGGTGGTGGTTATGGTCGGGTAGAATCATACTAAAACCAAACTAAAAAAACTAAACTATTTTTTATATTACCCGGTAAGGCCCACTAACCTATATAGTTCTTTTTCAGAAGCGACCTGGCCACAAATGATATCTCATTGAAGTGGCTTATGTGGAAATGTTATCGCAGCCAAATAACTATAAACATGTGATGTTGATTCTGAATGTGGTGGGAAAAACTGGAGGACCCGGATAAAAATCTACACGACCACTGGGAGAGAGAGACACGCAAACTCCAATTATACAGGCGTCAGGGTCGGTATCGAACCCACGACTTCCTGTATACCAGACGAAGCAGTTAACATCTCGCTACCGTGTCACTAAGTAGTGTGTTACAGTTACATTGTAAACATGAAGCCAATTGTTATTCGTTATTAATGTTCAACTAAACGTCGTGGGGTGTTCAATCTCAAAAGATCAAAACGCCAACGTGGCCAAAGCCATTTCTTTAGCACTTATTTTCGTGTTTAGTTTGTTGTCCTTCCCCGGCACCTCCGATTAGTGCGGTTGGGTACGTACGGTGCGAAAGAGGTTCAACGTACATACAGAGCCATTGACGAGACCACCACGGAGTCTACCTGGTGAACAATGCGTTTCAGCCTTCGCCAGCCTCCGCCAGACGCTGCACAGTCGCTAACACAGTCACCTCCTCGACCTGTCCTCACAGCATCCCCACCATCTTGTAGGTGCTAATTTTTATGAAAATTCAAATTTTCTATTCCCCCCCCCCCCCCCCCCTTTGTTAATTGCAAAGGTTACGTTCCGGAGATGCTCGGGATGAGCACATTTCGCGGATAATGATATTGGCCTACGAAAAATGAATGGCCTTATATAAATACATAAATACGCTTTCTCTCTCACCACTTTATCTCACCACTTTCTCGCATCGCATTCTCTCTCGGCACTTTATCGCATCACTTGCTTTCTCTATCTCTCCATGCGGTCGTACAGAGTTCCAGATGCCGAAATCGCGGATAGCGAGTTCACGAATAGCGAGCGAATACCGTACTCTACCCGCTGGTAAAGAGGTGGGGGGGGGGGACACGTAGGACAGTCGTTAGGGCAGCGGTCGGGAACCTATGGCTCGCGAGCCATATATGGCTCTTCCTGTGACGGCATATGGCTCCCAGACAATTTTGAGTTGAAAAAACTAATAAAAAAAATAAAAATAAAATCAGTTTGGAACTGATTTTAAAATACTTGTGATATTGCTTAATAATACTGTGTCATTGTAAAGTAAACAGAAATTAGTTTTGAAGATAAAATTTCTCGGGTCACGGATCCCGTGACCAGAAGTCGCATTAAAAGTAAGACATATTTAATTTATTATACGTTAAAAATACTATATGGCTGTCAACGAAATATATTAATAAATATATTGCGTTTATGGCTCTCCCAGTCAAAAAGGTTCCCGACCCCTGCGTTAGGGGCTGGTAAGGGTGTACACAGCAGGCGAATTTTTGCGGATACGACCGGCGACAAGGCGACGGCCCCACAAACGCTTGCGTTCGTTACCCTGCAAGAAGAACCTAATGGACGCCTCCATCTTGACCCCGGTGACCTCGTTGAAACCCTCGCAGGTGTACACGCCCGTGTGCTCCAGCTGGATGCTGCTCAGCATGAGGTTTTTGGTGTAGGTCTCCAGCACGACGGAGTCCTTCTTCCACCGGATTTCCATGGGCGGGTTGGATTTGCCGTCGCAGAAGAGGTTCGCCGACTCGCCGGACCTGACCGCGAACGGCGTTGCGCTCCCGTCCGTGTGGATGGCGATCTTGTGGCGCACGGACAGCTTCAGCGACTCGGGTCCGTCTGCAACGGCGGGGTAGCGGAAACACGTGCGGTCGCGAAAGCGATAGACGGTGAATGATTATAGTAAGTCGCGATTGATTTCCCGCGGCTCCAATGAGCATTGAAGGCGCCGGTGTTCGTCCTCCTGTTTTACAGCCCTGCGGGAGGATCAGTGGTGGAAATTCCACGTTTCTATGGTGGGGGCGAGTGTAACCGTAGGGCACCCACTGTTGAACGGCCCAACAAGGCGGTGCTCGTTTTGACGCTTAGGTTTATGCAGCCGCTCGTAATCCAAGCGTGGTTTAGGATTACAACCCAGTCCAGAAACAACACGCTTTGTAAGCGTGCTATCGACAACAGAGGGCATGATAAGCTGCTAAGTCAATCCCCACCTGGGATTGGAACGCTCAACGATCCGACCGCGAGTTTTCACTCGCTCTACTGCCGAGCCGTCCAGAAAAGCAATCAAATGACCAATTCAGTGGACGCATTATTTTGTACGTCGTCATCGTCAACAACAACAACAACGGCCTTGATCAATGCACTGGTGGGTGAAGACCTCCCCATGTTGTCGCCATCCCTCACCGTCTCGCGAAACAATGATCCCCTTGCTCCTGACCGTGAGCTCAGCCTCACTGCTCTCATCTGTGCTGCGCATGCACACCAGTGGAACTTCTACCTCGCATGGTATAATACAGGAGGTCGTGGGTGCTATCTCTGTCCGTGGTCGCGTGGATTTTCCTTCAGGTCCTCCAGTTTTTCCCTCCACATTTACAATCAACATGCGTTTAGAGTATTTGGTTTGCAATAAAAAAAAAATCCACGTGATAAGTGACTTCATTCGTTACCGACCCTGACGCTTGTATATTTGGAGTTTGCGGGTTCTCTCTCTCCCAGAGGTCGTGTGGATTTTTCCCCCGGGTCCTCCTGTTTTTCCCACCACATTCAGATTCAACATCACGCGTTTAGAGTATTTTGGCTGTTATAACATTTCCACATGATAAGCCACTTCAATGAGATATCAATTGTGGCCAGGTCGCTTCTGACAAACAACTTTCTAGCTCAGTGGGCCTCACCTGGTTACATAAAAATATTTTAGTTTAGTTTTAAGATGCAACTAAAAACCCCAAAGGCTCTCCGACACAAGTTTTAAAGTTGGTTAGTTAATGATTAAGGACGTTATAGTAAAGGTCAGAATGGTCAAACACGCTGCCGTGGTGTGCACCAGTGATGTCGCTGCGCTAGTGTGTTCCCGTTGTTCAAGTGTCATCGCCGTGATGTCACGCGAGCGCTATCGTTGCTTCTCCTAACTTTGAATATGGCAGCAATGCGTTCAGGAGCTGGGCGCCAAAGTCGACGTCCAATAGTCACGACGAGAGGGCTTCAGAAGAGAGTTCGCGCAGTTTTGCTTTTCCTTCTTTTCGCTATTGCTCCTGCTATATGGTCCATCGATGCGCATTGCACCCAGACCAGCTATTATATTCTTGCGTACGGCAGCAATTCGTTCAGGAGCTAGTTGCCAACGTCGAGGACTGCTATCCACGACGAGAGGGCGTCGGGAGGAAGTTCGTGCAGTCGAATTCTACGGATGCAGTTGATCGAGACTTTGTGATAGGTTTTAATCGCTCTCGTTGACGAAGCTTTAGAGGCATGTCGGAATGTCCGCGACACAGCCTGGGTTTATATCTACAATAAGATAAGGTCTTCAACGTATGTTTGGATTTCACCTTTATTTCAATGCAAATGTGTGGATTGCGTATGAGGCTGCTTGATGTGAACTTCGAGCACGTGGAGAAATAACGTGCGGCCCTTTGTCAATGAAGGTCTCCTCTGTGCCATGTTCACCGTGAGGCTTGTTTGACCATACCTCACCATGCTGGTCAGTGCATGTTGGTGAAGGTGAGGGGGACATACACGTGGGAGCGTGTAGGTACAGTACAACAGTGGATTTTTCCCGCACCGCCCTTTGCCACTCGCAGCGTGGCCCCACAGCCTGTAACACCTGATACGCATGGTGGTCGCCCGTGCAAGCACAGTCCGGGCTCAATGCCGCTTAGCATCCGAGAAGGCCCCAATCTGGGTGATTTGCAGAGGTCGCAATCAGGTACCCGATTCCCGTACCCTACCCGATACCTGGCTACCCGTACCCGGCCGGGTACGGGTACGGGTACCCATTTGCGACCCTGGTGCGGCCGGGTACGGGTAAGGAATCAAAACCCGTTTGCGACCTCTGGTGATTTGGTCACGGGCTAACTCGAAACGTGAGCGTGGAGGATGCGTGGATGATGCGTGCTTGGAATTACATTGAGGGGCATAAAGGGGCCCACACACGCAGTGTCATGGCATCATCCGAATTATGAAAAAGATGAAAAGTGGGTCTTGGGCAGGACACGCGCCACGGGCTCGAGGGGATGGTGGTGGGGCAATGGTCAAGAACAATAACGGAGCTGCAGCCCAGGAACGGATACGCATCCGAGGCAGGATGTCCATCCACTCTGGAGACGGATACCATGAAGCCGGGTTTTGCGCGCAAGTGCTGCGTGGATTGCTGCATCGTAAGATGGTGAGAGGTGGCAGTCCTCATCAAGCAAAGGGTGATCATTGCCGCTGCTGCTGATGATGCGGATGATGATGATCATGATGATGATGATGATAATAATACATTTGTGCGAGCAGTGATCGGACGCGCAGCCGAAAAACAAACGCGTGCGTGCGTGCGCTCTCCTCACTCACAGTGCACGTCCAGTCGCTTTTCCCTCCGCAGCTCTTCGCCGGATGGCAGCTGGGCCTGGCACGCGTACGTGCCGTCGTGTGACCGGGACACGCTCGGGATCTTGAGGCTGCGGTTGTCCTCGGAGAACACGAAGTGCGAGACGTTGACCCCGTCGGGCGTGTGCCACGAGAAGGTCGTGTTGTCGTCCTCCACGTAGAGCAGCAAGCAGGAGAGGGTGACCACGGTGTGCTCCACCGCGGACGAAGGCTCGACGTCGATCACCAGCCGCGGGTTCTGTGCTGCAAAATGTGAGACGCGACATCAACGCAGGAATGGAGAGAGAGAGAAGAATAAAACAACTCGGCTCAATTCCACCGAAGCGTCGCTCACGTGAGACGAGCAAAGTCAGTGGTGGAGCCAGCGCCCGCTGCTCTGACGGGTTGTGAGTTAAAATCCTGGTTGAGGGCTCACTCGGCCCCGTCATCCCTCTCGGGTCGATAAAACAGGTTCCGCTTTGTGGGCAATTCAACAGTGGAAGTCAACAGTGGAGAGACTCGCCCGCGTTATGAGAACGTGGAATTTCCGCCACTGGCTCAGGGCTTTGAACGGGAGATGAGCACAACCCCAATGCTCGTTTGAGCCGGAAAGCGAGTTTCTTGTCTTTTTCCAACGTGGAATTCGTTTCTCCCAAACAGCCACGGCTGGAGTATTTTAACGCCTTTGATCGATGACGTGGTGTATGGAATGGTTGATCAGCAGTCGGCGCACATTGCCTTGAGTCCGGCGATCCGAACGTGATGCCTCGCCGCAGATAACTCCACTGGCAATTAGAGAGACCTCAATTAGAGAGGCTTCAATGTATCCTGAAGCTTCCCTTCAGCATGCACTGACCAGCAAGGAGAGATTAAAAACTAATTTCTTCAGAACTGCTTTTTGTGTTTAGTCTGTTGCTTTTCCCCCACACCTTCGATTAGCACAGTTGGCTACGTATGGTACGAAAGAAGTTCTACTTACGTACATTATACCGTCGAGAATTAGAATGAAGCCATCACGTGCAGCTTATTTAAAATTATTTGCTCCATCTTTATTTGATTTATAAAACAATTATATATAAATGACCTATAAATGTTTATCCTTCTCACGAGTAGGGTACGTTAGTTTGAAAGGACGTGTAGAATTTTTTTCTCACCATCTAATTGATTTTCCAACTTTCTTTCAATAAATGGCACTTTAATGGGGTTAAAGAGTGAACGGGGAATTCGCTGACTCTGCACTCAGCAAAGAAGCTGTTGCACCAACAGTCGTCATTGACATTTTCAGTCCAATCTAGGTTGCGCTCTTTTGGTGCATATTTGGCTTTGGTTAGCGAGGCACCCAAGCTATGGAACGCCTTGCCACTTGACATCAGGCAATCAGAGTCGGTAGATATATTTGAGTCTGCTTTGAAAACCCATCCCTCTAAAGTGGCCTTGACTCTTTAGTTTGGTCGGTTGCCCTGGTTGTGTTTGTGTTTCCTGCTTTTCATGCGTTGTGCATTGGGATCCTAGTATTGAATGCACATTAATAATTTGAATTATTAATAATGTTTTGGTGATTTGCAAATAATGAGTTGACTCACTATTAATCTCAATTTAATTCACTATTAATCCCTACCACCCCTATACTTACCATCGTCATGTTAGCAAATGGATTTACCAACCTCACGAACCAAGCAAGCGCCCTTGACGTGCCATGAATTATGTAATTACTCTAGCTATCAAGGTCTAAATTGCCCTAATGTGTTACTACAATTGTCACCATTGATTAAACACGAACATACTTTTGCAAAATTAATTAAGTCACCAACACCTAACACCGTTTGCCTAAAACGCTGGTCGATGCAATGTAAAATGTGTAATTTTAGGATTTGTTTATTTTTAAACCCAGGTGGGTGGTACGCTAAGCACGCACTCTGGCAGAGGTGGGTGGTATGCTAATTCCCATGAGACTTTGACTCTCTTCTAATCATTACTTTTATTAAGAGCGCAGTTGTACTGGGTAATATTCACCGAACGGTATGCACTCGCACTCGTTCATAAATTATATTTCCACGCCCCAAGGGGTGATTTTGCAGTTTTCCCACTGTCCAGCCCTGCAGTGTTCCGTGCAAGAGAGAAGGCCAATAGCACTTAATATGCCCAGCCCTTTGTCAATCCACTGCTGGATGGATGCCTCCCTACGTCGTGTTGGTCGAACAGGTTTGTGTCACCAAACTTCATGGTGTTGATCAGTATGCGTCGGTAGAGGGGAGGGGTGCCCAGAAGCGATTCAGGTATCACTGCTGACATCAACCCCCGTGGTTCGAAATGGAACTGAGGTTACCTGGTGGAATCGTGCAATGTGCTAACCACTGCATCACAGCTCCACAGAATAGCATTCTTGTATCTGCGAATTACTTGGTTTTTCAAAGAGATAAAAAAAAAATTCCATCAAGAAAATACGACTTCCACACTGTGCTTTTGTATCACCATATGTACAAATGGTCTGACAAACACACTTTATAACAAAGTTAATTCACATCAGCATGGGTTTACTTTTAAAGGGCTTATCTGCTGCTCATTGTCTACCGCCGTTTCTTCGTCAACGGCCTTTAAACATGTTCCACTTTTTCAGGGCACGCCAGTCAGTGGAAGATGACCTTCACACCGTTGAAAAAAAACCACTCACCACATTCGTCAATAACACTGTGGCCTTAAGATGATAAAGTAGAAGATAGGTGACTCGTTTTGGTTCAAAGGGGTCACTTCTTTACAGCATGTACGAGAGGCCAGAGAGGTGGAGTCTTGAACTGTGAGGTATTTTGAAACGAAACGATTGAAATATTCTTAGGTTTTTTCGGTAAAGTCACATAAGTAAAAAATTAAAATTAATAAAAGTAAAATAAAAATAAAATAAAAATCACGACGTTTTGGAGGCAACACAAGCCTCCGTCTTCAGGTGGAACCGTCACAGCACGATAGCTGTATCAAGTAAGATAAATTCCAAGAAAACAGTCCTTGTATATATACTGGTTGAGGGTGGGACGAGCCAAGGTAGGCCCTGGATATTATTATTGTGAGGTTCGGTGCGGCTGAAGCAATTTTTTACCTACGTGACTTTACCGAAAAAACCTAAGAGTATGAATCCTTGCAGTCACGAAAGCTTCAAATCTGAAACGATTGAACAATTTTTTTAATATATATTATACCAGGTAAGGCCCACTGAGCTTCGTAAATTTCTAGCAGCCGAATACTGTGAACGCACAATGATTCTAAATGTGGAGGGGAAAAAACACGGAGGACCCGGAGAAAAATCCACGCGACCACGGGGAGAATATACAAACTCCAAATATACAGCAGCAGGCGTCAGGGTCAAGATCGAACCCACGACCTCCTGCATGACAGGCGAGGGAGTTGATATCTCGCCACCCTCTGCCTCTCTGCACTAAAGAAGGGCCCTTGTGAGAAATGCAAGCAGGTACTCTGCCACGCGCCCATCTCCTGAGTTGAATCAGTGGTGAGTGATATCAGAACCGGCCAAGGCCCCCACTCCCTTTTTGCCAAACTCGTACTCACCCAACACGGTAAAGTATTTACGCTATGAGACCTCCTTTACCAGTGGCAAAATATAGTAGTAGGTTTTCACCCTTTAAACTGGTGCAAAAACTGACAGTGCATATCATTATCATTATCAGAATTATTTCTTTTTGTTTGCATTTTGACTACTTGTGTTGTGGTTATTGTACCAGTTTAAAGGGTAGAAACCTACTACTATGGTGAAGTATCTTGATTTGAAGCTTTCGTGACTGCAGGAATCCATACTCTTTGGTTCTTTCGGTAAAGTCACGTCGGTGACTGATGACGACCGCTTGCGTTGCGATCGAAACGTCGTGGTTGATTTTAGTTTATACCTACGTGACTTTAGCGAAAGAACCAAAGAGTACGGTGAAGCATGGTCAATGCGAACAGGACTTGTGTGTAATTCTAGATTTGAAGCTTTCGTGACTGCAAGGATTCATACTCTTAGGTTTTTTCGGTAAAGTCACGTAGGTAAAAAATTAAAATTAAAATTAATCATTTACTTGATACAGCAATCGTGCTGTGACGGTTCCACCTGAAGACGGAATCTTGTGTTGCCTCCGAAACGTCGTGATTTTTATTTTACTTTTATTACATTTTTTTATCTTTTACCTACGTGACTTTACCGAAAAAAAACCGAAGAGTACTTGTGCGTGTTTCTCGTGTGTCCCCTTTTGCGGTCTCTCACGTCTCTCCAATCAGTTTCAGATTTTCTTTTTATATATACCGGAGGAGGAATCCGATGAGCTATGAAGCTTTTTTTTTTAACAGATGTCCATGGGGCGGGGAAAGTAAAAAAAAGAAAATCTACTGGACCGGACCATGTGTAGGACATATTATTCTTTGGTTCTTTCGGTTAAGTCACGTCTAAAGATAAAATAATAAATTAAATAATTGCATACTACGACGTTTCGATTGCAACACAAGCAATCATCATCAGACATACAAGAAATAGCAACAAAAATCTAACTAGAAAACTATAGACAGACATACAAGCAGACAGATATGTGTTCTCTCTGTGTGTGTCCTTGTGATGTCTGTCTGCTTGTATGTCTGTCTATAGTTTTCTAGTTAGATTTTTGTTGCTATTTCTTTTATGCCTGATGATGATTGCTTGTGTTGCAATCGAAACGTCGTAATATGCTAATATTTAATTTATTATTTTATTTTTAGACGTGACTTAACCGAAAGAACCAAAGAATAATTCCTGCAGTCACGAAAGCTCCAAAATTAAGAATGTGTAGGACAACCCGATCCGTGAACCGCCATGCGCCAAAGGGCGACGTTACAAAACCGTGTCAAGGAAAAGACTGGCAGAGACCCAGCGTCAACCAGTTGATCCGGCCCCGTTACGTAAAGTTTTCTTTTCTTTTTTCCCCCCTGAAAGTCAACGCTGAGAGCCGTGAACGAGGCGCCGGGCCGTCCTTCGCTGTCACCTTGGCCGGAGGTCACCGCCCGCAGTTCCTCTAAAGGCAACCACCGTTTGCCCCTGAAGGTATAGGGGAGGGGGGGCAGTGCGTAAAACCTGCATGGGTTGAACTGCGAACACTTACATAGCAATGTGATATGATCTAATTGTATAATTGTACAACATGTGTTTGAAGCAGAGGTCAAAGAGTAACTTCAGTTTCAGTTGTAAGTTAAAATATATATTATATATATCTATCTCGAGTGAATTATTAACAAAACGAAGTTGTGACTTT